CTTCTAAACTTGAGTTCTATTTTTCTATATTTAGAGTCATTCAAATGCTAAACTACAGCTTGCTGCCATGTTCTGTATATCTAATCTCATATGGAATGAAGAGGAAGGTAAGAAACCCTCCTTATTAATGCACAGACAAGTTACTATCCTGATCAAAAAGCTTTTGTTGCATAGTAATAAATTATTTACAGTGCACAGTGCAGTGGGATCCAAAGTATAATGGGACACATCATTACAAGTGTAGTATGGAATGTAGGAGTGGTCAGAAGCCACTGAGGAGGATGCAGAGAGGTTTCTGGGGGAGGCACGAGGACAAACTGACAATAAACAGGAGCTGGAGAGACACAGTGAAATGTTTTCAGTTGTAGCATTTTTGTGAAGTCTCTAAACTATTGGGGTGAAACAATTCTTCTAAGAGCTTCCAGATTGTAAAGGGACTATGGAAATTCATTTTTGGAGGGAACAGGTTCACTGGAGAGAATAAATTGATTAGAAGGGGATTTCTGGCAAAGAAATTTTCTGTAGTGTGGCTGATTTAAATGGCTTGGGCTGAAACCAGCTAAAGGACTTGAGGGTGGAACTGGGAGCAATGGATAAGGCATTTGGTGAGAAGTCATGCCTGGCAGAATGGGAGGTTACCAGGAGGGGGCTGAAGGATGGTGCTGCACAGGCAAATATGGTGAGAGGAGGAGAGGGCAGAAGTCAGGCTCAGGGGAATGTTCTCTGCATCCAAATCCTGTGAGATCAGAGATGAGAATAAAACAGCTGAAGTCAGGATACCTTAGGATAAAGTTTTTTGCCTTCAAGATGTTCTTGGCTTCAAACACTGAGCACAGCAAAAGAAGCTGGAGCTCCCTGGGGAAGCAGGCAGAACTTGAGGGAATCTTTCCATGGCCGTGCTGTAGCTGGACATGGCTCCTTACCCCTCCTTCAGCTGGTTCCTGCGCCCACCCCTCTGCTGTCCTGCAGACCCCTGGGCTGGTGCCACTGCCAACAATGGGATTGTTGCTGTTGCAGGTTCACAGGAGCGCCAAGACAAACTCCGAGACATGGGAGTAGTAGACATTCTACATAAACTGAGTCAGTCCTCAGATCCAAATCTGTGTGACAAGTGAGTATGAAGATAATACAGGATCACCACAGTTAATCTCAATTAAATTATCTTGAACTAATTAAGCCCAGCAGTAACTTTGCACACACCTGTGCTGTTACCTGTGTTAGTATCAACACAGATCTTCTGGCTGCTTCCCAAACACATGTAAAACCAAAAGTTAGTGATAATTTCTGGGGCTTTATGTTAACCTTTTGCAATTATCCCTCCTACAGTTAGCAACAGCCGATATTTATTCCACAACAGAGAAAATCTGATCTTTGAAAGATGTTGCACACAGACAACACAACTCAAAACTGGGCAGTTATTTTTAAAACACATTAAATTTGGTATTCTTTGTTTTATGAAATATGTTCTAGTGTTTTTAGACATTTCTGTAGCAAAGTTAGGACTTTGCATCTTAAAATCTATGCCAGAGTATTAGCCCTGAAAATTATCATCAGGAACATTTTGATATCCCACTGCTGCTACACCAACCCCCTCCATGAGCTATTACGGCTTGTGATCACAGCAGAAAGCCGAGAAAAATAAATAATCTTCCATGTTGATTAGTTTGTATCAGGTCCTGGAAAAGTCTGTTAAGGTCATGGTAGCAGGTTGGGAGCTGTGGGGGCAAAGGAAGAGCAAAATGTCTCACTTCAGGTGGGAGGAAACTCAGAATTAGCCCATGTGATGATGGAACTGTAACCCCAGACTGGTGGGAGGTGTTTTTGTTTTAACAAAAACATTGTGCAATATTAGATTACATAAATTGCATTTTTAGAGTGGCTTCTTCCTCTCTCTCACCTCACTGTATGTTTGTGGTGGGGCCAGTGTTCTTACAGGATTCCTGACAGGACTGATGTGCCTTTGCTATATTCTGAGTTGACACTCCTCGATTTCTCAGCTCAAAGACCTGCTTTCCATAGTACATCTGTATTACAGAAAGCACTTGCTCTTCAGTGACTGCTCTTAAGGGATTTTGGAGGGTGTAACACACATCCCAAGCTGCACCATGCTGGGAGTGCCTCAGTTTGTGCTGGGATCCAGTGTGCTTGGCTGGATCAGGTTATTCTTGGATGCTAGGTGGATTCTTTAGCAGTTACAACCCCCACAGAGCATTTCTGCACCACGGGTTAGATCCTTCCAAAGTGAGGGAGACTTTTCCTCAGCCATCCTTCCTCCCTCTGTGCTGGCGCATTCGGAGCCTGCCCATGAAGCTGCTGCTGAAGCCAGATTCCTGTAATTAATGGGTTGTTCTTTCTTGCAGGGCGAAGACAGCACTCCAGCAGTACCTTGCATGATCAAAGACTAATTAAATCTATGGACACCCCTCATGTCTACTTAAGGAATAGCAGGAGATACTCCTGACTCCTTATATTTGCACAAGTCACCTTGGGCTGCATTTTTCTCAGGTGCAGGGAGCTGCTTTGCAGAAACAGTTTGAATGATCAGGTCTCCAGTGCACTTGAGAATTTTCTTGAGGTAGTTTCTTTACTCAGAGGACTCGGGGTGGGGGGGTTGTTTTGGTTTTTTGGGGTTTTTTTTCCTGAGCTACCTGGACTCTCAGATAGAACAATCAGTCATCATTTTCCTTTTGGGCCTCCAATTCTCTGCTTTTGCTGCAGCCTTGTGTGGGTGTGTGGGTGCTCGAGTGCGTGTGTGTGCCGGGCTGAGTGTGTGGGTGTGAGACCTCACTTTTGGTTTTCCTTTTTTTTTTTAGTGTGAAAATCTTTTTCTACAGGTTTTCAAGGGTTAACCATTGTTTGCTGTATGAATACTTCAATGAATTATATACCATTTGAATGAAATGTTATTTAAAAAAAAACCAAACTGTTGTATCCCATAAAGTTTATTTTGAATTTTGAAGAGATGAATGTTTTTAAGTAAAATATATGCATTTCTGAACTTCAGTTTAACTTACATTATACTTCGTTTTAAAAGAGAAAAACAGAGGGAGACAATAGACTCCAAATTCCAAGGAGCACATTCTGCACTGACAAGGTCCAAGAGTTCTTTGCCACAATACAAGGTCACCTGGTATCGATGACATGCTCAAATCCATAGAATGGGCCAACTGGATTTGGTTTGGGTTTCTTTACATTTTTAGAAAACAAGCTCATACTTGAGGGGTTAGCATGACTGATGATTTTCAAAAAGGAGCAGGTGGCTGCAAAATCAGCAGGAATAAGCTCTTGCTTTGCCAGCCAGGAACTTGCTGAGCTAATTGCTGAAGGATTGGCTTATTCATGGTCAGAAGGATTTGTTGATCACTGATATCAGTGGAGCAAACAGTGTGTTGCAGAAGTTATACCTTCCAGAGACTAGAAGGAGCTGGCAAGCAGGATTAAGGAATTGCTTTTGTTTTGAATCCTTTATATCCACAAATAGTTAAGTGACTTCCAATTAATTTCTACAAATGATCAACTGGGTGCATTAAGCTGGGGAAGGGATGGAAAAACTGGGGGTTCTGTCTTGTTTTATACTCAGTAACATTGCTCCAGTTTTTCTGTATATATGCAGCTATACGCACATGCATGGATTTAGATTGCTGGATAATTGGTGGGGTGTGACTGCATCCAGAAGCCCGGACTGTCCGGATCTTCCTGAAATGCTGCCTGCAAGTGTGCAGGGGGAAACGTGAGTGCAAGTGAAGGGGACTCTGTGAGGTCAGGCTGGAATGGCAGAGCCCAGTGGCTTCCCAGTCTCCTCAGGCAGTTCAGGGTTCTGACTCTCTGCCCAGGTCTCCTTTCTGGTTTCAGTTTAGACCATAGTTCATAGTCAGACTATCCAGACACTGTATTTACATAGCACTAACAGGCACTAGAGTTTGCAGCCAATGTCTTAAACCAAATCCTTCTTCTCTTACACTGAGCTTCAGGAAGGCTGCAGCAAGAAGAGAAGTGTGTAACTTTGCTAACCAATTTTGATAATTATCTGAATCTTTTATTTCTAATCAGAAGGTCAAATTGTGATGACAGCCTTACTTTTTTTCCAAGGTAACTCTTTGTGTCAGAAAATGACCACAGTTTGGCCTGGAATTTGAATGTGTTGTATATCAGATAACTGTTATCACTTGGTTGCAAAGGAGAATATCTGCATTTCATGTAACTTCTTCTGCTCTCAAAGACAAATAAAAGTGAGCACCTGACACTTTTCCCCCAGGCATTGCAGTAAGTGGCAATTTTTAACGTCCTTCTGCAAATATTTCATTATGGACTTTGGGGGTTGAACAAAAGGGAAAGTAAAAATATGTAAGAACTTGTTAAATCTCAGTACCTCAGAAGCAAAGTCTTGTTATAAAATTCAATCAAATGTATTTTTGCTTGAACTGAGAAAAAAGTTCTGAGGCAGGTATTGTAAATGCAAAACTGTCCAGTGGGCATCTCCCTGATCCATTTGCACTCCTGTGTGTGTTTAGGAGCTCGAATTCTTATGTATCTCTTCTCATCCTTCTCCAACTCGCATTTCTAAAAGCAAATCTGAGTTTGATTCTATAGAACTTTGGTGCCTACAGGTGTTCAAAAAAAAGGTGAGTAAAAGTATCTCTGTACAAATTTTGAAGTGGTTTCCTAAAATTCTGCCAGAAAAACTAAAAACCAATGCTCAGACAATCTTGTTGCTGCATGAGAACAGTTGACATTTTCCACAGGTATAGAGAGGACAAACTGTTGGATAAGAACATTTTTACATTCAGTTAAACTTTGTGAATAATTTTTGATGTTGCTATAGGTATGTACAAAAAGAAGAATACTGTAAATAAAAAGACCTTTACCAGAACATCTAGATTTTTCTCAGCTTCCTGAAGAAATATGAGCTTTCTATGTCAGCTTCTCTACAGCCTGAGATTCACAGTGGGACAGACTTTCCTGGTCACCCAGAGCTTTCCCAATTTAATGAGGTAGCAGCAGCCTGTGAATTCCAGAATTGCTTACAGAACCGAAGCAAATGAATCATCAGGATTTCTGCTGTTCTTGGGTCATTTCTCTGCTGAAAAGCTATCCTGACAGATTTTGATAAGTATGTCCTCACTTTATACATGGGTCTAGTGATGGGAGTCCTCCTTTCAGAGGTTACATGTTGCTACCAAGTGAAGTTGAGCAGGGCATTTGGGACACCAGCTGTCAGACAATGGTACCCTTTGCTCTCCCCACCACTTTAATTCCACATTTGGACTGTCTTTCCCACACAGAAAATCAAATAAAGCATCATGTGGCTATTGTTCCAGTCACAGATTTGCATTGTGGCAGTGAAAGAAGCCAAGTAACCTGCGTAAGGCAGCTTCTGCCAGGATATTCTGAAGGCTAACATCTCATACTTGTTAATATTTATTTGTACAGACTTTACCCATTGCCATGGATGCTCTGCCTCCACAAAACTGCTGAAGCAGTGATGCAGCAGGCAGAGGAATAACTAAGCCTGAGATTAGTTTCTTAAAGAGTAGAAAATAGCTTTAGAAGTGCTTTCTTTGGTAATCCTGAAATGTGAGCACAAGAGCCATCAGTTAGCAAATGGTGGTCAGAATCATCATGGCTTTTCTTCAGGCTGATTGCCACAAAAAGTGACATTCTGAGGGCGTTTATGAACCAAAACCTGAATCCTCAGCCAGGAGGACAGTGAGCAGCTGGAGGACCAGGCCAGCAGGCATTGTATGCTGTGTGACAAGAAGCAGCTCCAAGGTGTGCCCCTGCAGCCCAGTGTGCCCAGGTGTGGGGAGGGATGGGGTAAGAGCAGCAGCCCAGCCTTAACGGCATCACCAGGAGTGCTGGGCACCGGCACTGCTCTCACGGCAGAGAGGAAAAGAAAACCACAAACCAAGCTTGTTTGGATGGGGACACCCTTGCTCAGTGCTTCGAGGTCACGCCTGGATCCCACGCCTTGCTTTGAGCCCCCAGTTTAGGAGAGAGGTGGGAAGACTGGAGTGGAGGGTGAGTGTTGGGCTGGGAGGTGCCAGGCAGCTGGGGCAGGCACAGGAGGCAGAAAGGCTCCACCTGCAGCTGCTGCTCCAGGAGTCCCAGGGGAGATGGAGCTGCAGCCGGCACTGGGGGAGGGAGCGGGGCGGGCTGGGCTGGGCTGACGCTGCCCTGGCCATGCCAGCGCTGCCATGGCAGCCTTGGGGTCCTGCCAGCTGCTGTACAAGGCTCGAGAAGGGAGCTGCAGTTAAGGCCCTGCAGCAGCACCTCGGCTCTTGGGGGAAGTGTGAGCAAAGGTGTGTCCATGTTTGGAGCACTGTACCACTGCTGTGGGTGCTGTGTCCGGGCTGGATCAGCAGACACAGGTAAAAAGCTCTCTCTGTGGTGCAGGTTGGCCAGCACTTGGATCCAGGTGACTAGAAGCCATCTGTAGCTCTTTGTGCTTGGGACAGCTGCTCAAAGGACCCTGTTCCTGCAGAAGGATGGCTGCAAAGAAAAAGGAGGTAGTGCTGCAGGTCAGTAGTAGCCAGGCCTTTACCAGACCTTATAAACTCTTAAGTGCAAAGGATGGAGTTCAGTCTTGGGGTGTCTCAGATTCTGCTGGCGAAACCCCACTGTGAGGTCCTCGTGGGGAAGAGGCATCCCTGGAGGCAGGTGGGAAGCATGGGAGGACCTGGCAGGTCACGCGTGTGCCCAGTCAGGGCTGTGGGGTGTGGAGGCAGCTGCTGCAGGGCTGCAGGTTGTGTTTGGGGCCATTGGGGCCTAGCACAGGTTTGGCTTCTGTCAGAGACCAAAATGCCTCTGTTTTATGAGGAAATAGCTCAGAGGACATGTAGGAGTTTGTATGGGGTTAGCACATATCCTGGATGGCAAGAGTTACTGGATGTTTCTTACCAGGTCACATAGTCAGAAAGATTGCTGTAAAGATAAAAAAGCCAGAAGGTACAAGAAAGACTGAAAAATTTATTTCACAGTGATGTGTAGAGGAATTTTTTTCCTGTTTATACTGCACAGGTGACCTAGTGATGCTTTATAACTACTGCATGAGAAGAAGGGGGTTCTAAGAGCAGTTCACAATGTAAAACCATTGAAAACCAAAAATGGGTTCTGCAGATCTGATTGAAATTTTGAGAGCAGTTCAATCTTCACAAGAGAGAAATAATGAGGAGTATTATGGGCTCTTTGACCTTGTTTATTCACTGTTTAAACTGGGAAACGTGAACATGTGTAACAAGGAAAGAGGGGCATTTTAATGAAGGTAGGAATAGTTTCTGTTGCTACTTGTCCAGGTGCGTTCCTGTGGGATGGGGAGCTTTACATCAACTAGACCATGCCCCTTTGGCAGTGAAGGGAAATCTGGGTCTACATCTGGGATTTTTTACATCTGCAGATGAAAGCTGAACCTGTGTAAGACATGAGGGGATGTCCTGGGAGTGATCTCCTTTTGTTAGAGAAAAGCCAAGTCCAAGCAGCCTCAGGAGATCCAAATTAGCAAAGCACCTTGAAGAGTGCCCGCAGTACTTGAGCCCAGTATTTGAACTTGCGGCCAAATTAATTACTACAAAATACTGTTATAAATAATTTAGATTTGTTAGTATTCTTGTGAAACACTCAGATGGTCCCAGCATTAGGAATAATTAAATATTGTAGTTCTGCAGGTGTTCTCTGAGAAAACTAAGCTTGGGTCATGTGCTGAGTAGGCAAATAAACAGAGGTGTCTGAACAGCTCCCTGTTCCCTGAGCGGGACAGGGCCCTGGAGAAACTGCCCAGTGTGACCCCCAGTGACACAGCTGTGAGAGAGCATTTCATTTGCACTGGAGTTCCCACTCTTGGAATTCTTGGCTGTAAGATTTTAGCAGCTCTTTAATGCCCATTGGTGGTAATTATTGTGAAATATCTGGCCTTGATGAAACTTACTGTCTTCCACTGCAGTCTAAATGTAGTTGGGGTTGATGATACCCACTGAGGAAGGAGTCAGGAATTTTTGTTGTTCAGGATGAACAAAACCAGATCTTGCATTTCTCCAGAAGTCTTTTTTATTTTAACTTGCTGTGTTTTTCTAAGTACATCCTGTAATATGAGGAAAATGTGAAGGATTATATCCTTTCTAGTAACAGTATCGGGAGTGTGGGATAATAGAGTGGGTGGTGCTGTGTGTGGAATGGTCTAGGGCATGCTTGACAGGGTCAATCCCTGAGCAAGCTGATCTAATGCTGAGTTTTGTGCAGGAGATTAAATGAAGGACTCCACAGGCCCCTCCCAGCCTAGAACTTTCTGTTCTCTGCTTACTGTACTTTGGAAGTCTTTAGGTAACAGCTGGGGGTTCATGTAAGAACATGCTGGGTTCAGACCACCCTCCAGTGCCCACACATCATGGAAATTGTGTATTTACTAGTTTGGTTTATCAAGGCTGAAACATCTCAAATAGTAGAATTTGTGTGGCGGCAAGGTGAGAAACTGCTGCTGGAGAATCAGGTGGTTCATAAACCCTGTGAGGACTGGGATTGGATGAGGTGTGGTTCAACTGGAACCCTGGGCAGGCAGATGGAGATCCTGACAAGGGGCTGTGGGTCTGTGATCCCAGTTTGGGGGCCCCAGCCAACCCCCAGAACAGCCCTCTGCAAACTGAGTCTGGGATCCCCAGGCATCCACTGTTCAGTAGTGCCACTAAGCAGGGGAGGACTTGCCCTTGGCTGGATGCTGCCCTTTCCCTCTGCCTTTCCTTGGATCTTGTGAGACATCCTGATCAGCTGGTCAGAGGTGAGAGAACCACAGTCAGAGGAATTTCCTGAGTGCCCAGGTAATGCCTCTTCAGGCAGGTTTGTCCCTCTGGAGTAATTTGTCAATATGTTTGCAGCAACTGGGTAGTACCTGATGAATTACTGTGGCTTTTACTGTGTTTTTCAATTTTCCACACAGATTAACATTACTAGCCAGGAGCTTTGGGAAGAAGTGCTTTGTCTCAAAGGACTCATTGGTAAGGGTTTGGTCAGCACACTGAATTGTTCTTGTTCTGTGTTAAAAGGATATCAGGACTGTTAGGAATTACCAGTGTTAAGGATATTTAGTCAGTCTCTCCATTCCCCTTACCTGGAATGGAAGAAAAAAATATTCCAACCAAGTTGAGACCAGTAGGAGGTTGTGGTCCTGTTCATTTATGTGGGACAGTCCTCATGCAATCCAAGTAGTGCTGGTCTATTCAGTCTCCACTGTTTGGAACAGGACTGTCCTCACCACAAGGAGCAGCCCTGGCTGTTCTTGGGAAAACCTCATGTGCTCTGCCTCTGTGCAGGAGGTTTCCCTGGGAAATTTGCTATCTCCAAGGTCACAGCCATGTCCATGTTTCTACTTAAGACTCCTCCACATCATTCTTAGCTTGCTATTTTGTAATGTAATTCTATCCTCTGATGCAGCATTTCAAACCTTGCAAGGGCTTCCAGTTCAGAGCTGAATCCAGCCCTTGTAGCACATGGTCTATTGGTCTGTGTCTAAACTGACCTATTTGTGCTCGTTCTGACCCATTTTCCTGCTTGCAGTTGTTGATGTGTTTCAAGCCTGGTGTGGCCCGTGCAAACCAGTAGTGAATCTGTTCCAAAAAATCAAGAATGAAGTTGGCAGTAATCTCCTGCATTTTGCTGTGGTAAGATCTCACTTGGTACTGCTTAAAATACCCAGTCCTCTGAAATCAGCTGAGGTTTATGGGCTGAAGTCACTTATCTTTCCAATCTTTAGCCCAAACCACAGTAGTGCAGGAGTTGCAGCTGCTGGGACTGAACCTGCCACATACAGGGGCTTGGGTATATCTATATGAATTAATATAATTAAGGATTTTCAGGCTTTAACTGCTCTATGCTTTCTAGATTTCTAATTAAGCAAGAAACAATAGAGTTATTAACACATTGCCTCTGATGTACAGGGAGAGACTGAAGGAGCTGGATTTGGTCACCCTGGAGAGGAAAAGGGGCAGTGGGGGGAGGATGGAGAAGGCAAAGACTGATGTCTGTCAGGGAAACACATCAACAGGACAATGAGATAATGGGATAAGTTGCAGCAGGGAAAGGTCCAAGTAAATAGAAAAGTATTCAGGTGGGAGTGTAGGACAGGGGGACAAGTTCCCAGAGTGCTGTGCAGAGCTGATTCTTGGAAAAGCTCAAAACTGACACAACCCCCCGTAGCACTGAGAGCAGCCCTGTGGTGACTTTGTGTTCTGGTGCCTTTTCTGCTGCCACTGCAGCTCTTCCTGGCACTTCTCAGCCTCATGGGCAGGAGCCCTGAATTCACTTTTCAGGCTTTTTCTCTGGCACTCACCCAGGCAAGTAGTTATCCCTGTCCCACAGGAGTGCTGCTCCAGCTCCTGCAGGAGACATCTGCCTGCTCTCAGGCTCTGGAACTGAGCTGTGAGCTGGCTGTGCCCTTGGCTCTGACCAGTGTTATTTTGTCCCCTAAGTCTGGGACCCAGAGGTGTTTTCCTATGTGTGGGGCATGAGTACCAGCTAGCTGAGGGTGTCTGAGCCCAGGCACTTGTGTGTGCATCCCTCTGGAGCAGAAATGCTTTTCTGGAAACACCTATTTTATTTTACATTCCTTTTAGGCTGAAGTTGATTCCATTGATGCTCTGGAAAAATACAGAGGACAATGTGAGCCCGTCTTTCTTTTTTATACAGTGAGTGAAAATACTTTCCCAGTGGTTGTATAGCAATAAATATGACCTGCTGGTGGGAACAACAGTCCTTTGGGGAGGATGTTTTATTTCTTGCACATGTTAAGGGACAATTTTATTTGCTCTGTATCTGCTGGTAATCAAATGCTGTGCAGATAAGAATATACAACCAGTGTGCTGCCCTGTGGAGCCTTCAGGTTCAGCCTGTTGCTTCTGCAGGACCTCACTCCTCTCACAAACTGCCTTGCTTCATCCTGAGACTGATGAGGAGACACAGAGCAGGTTGTTCCAAGGTTTCCCTCTTGCTGTGGAGCAGAGCAGCTCTGAGGGGAGGAGTGTACTTATGATGTGGGTGATGTGCTGCTGTGGGGAATTCCAGAGCCCAGAGAACACAACCTGAACACTAGCTGACTGATTTGCTTTCCACACCTTCCAGGGAGGAGAATTAGTGGCTGTTGTAAGAGGAGCAGATGCACCATTGCTGCAGAAGACCATCCTGAAACAGCTGGCAGGGGAAAGGAAGCGTGGAGGAGAGCCCATGGTGGTAATGGGTCACTAAAGCTTCAAACACCTGTAGATGTGCATGCAAGAGGAGAGCTTCAGCTCCCCAGGGCCAGCATAGCTCTAAAGTAGAGCTTTTCTTGCAAAAGTCCCCTTCTCTGCCCAGCCAACCTCCTAAGCCACTACCACAGGCACTGGCTTTGTGTGTGTGGTCTAAAATAATGACATTTCTCAGGAGCAAAACTGTCTTATTTATGTTACCTGATGCTCTGAAGGCATCTCTAAAGCCTGCGGCTCTCTGCTGATGTTGCTGGCCTATTCTTGGGAATGCTTTTCCCCCAGCTCTTACTGTGCACTGCCTGAGAGCTCAGCAGGTGACCCTGGACAGGCAGATCCTCTGCTGTCCCTGCTGAGCTGACCTGGCCCAGGACAGCAGGAGCTGTTCCTGCTCGGGGGAAGCTGGGATGTGGGGCCCTGCCTGGTATGGGCTCACCTGGAAGGGAGGTGTGGGATATTCCTGCCTCATCCATGTGCTCTTGCTGCTAGGTGCCAGACAGAGCCTTCTCCAGAGACCAGGGAAGCACAGCCCCCCTTCAGGAGGAACAACAGCAAGGACTAACAGGTAAGGCAAGGCTCAGGTGTAGGATGTTCTCTGGCCCTTGAGTCGGAACCTTTAAAAGCTGGAACCTTCTGTAGGGATTCAGCTGCATTCCTCCACCTGACACAAGGTGATGCGGAGAGTCACCTTGAAACACGCCCATAATTTGGGTGTCTGGCATTGTGAAACTGGGGGTATTTATCTTTCCAATGTGTTTTATCTTACATTTGCCCTGCCCTCCCCCCTTGCCTTCTGTCTGGCAACGGCTCTTGGAGACTGCACATGGCTTTCTGTTTCCAGGTGGTTTTTAAAAGAAAACACAAATGCTTGGGTTCCAAATCTGCTTACACCATCTCCTGCCTTGTCTAAAATTAGCCACAAATTCCCAAAGGCTTTTGCATCTTCTCCTAAAAGGGACATTTTCCCTTGGCTTTGCTGTGACAATGCTGCATCCTGTGCACACCAAATCTTAGGCTCCAGAACGTGGGAATGGAAGCAAAACCCTACTTACTATAACTGAAGCACCATGGGATGAAGGGGCGAAGGGGCGTGTGAGGGATGTTGGTCTCTGCTTCTCCTTTCTGCACCTATTGTTAATTTCGTTCATTTTCTTCCCTCGGAGGCTGACGCACCCATCGGGATGACAACCGCACCCTGCGGGATGACAACCGCAGCCGTGGAGCAGATGCGACCTTTTTCAATAAACACGAGATTTTCGTGTAGCAGCAGCAGCACCGGCTCCGTGTCCTTGGTGTCCCTCGGTGTCCCGGCTGCGCGCGGCCCCTTTAAGGCGGGCGCGGGGGCGGCCCCGCCGCGCTGCGGCTGCGTGGGGAGGAGGCTCAAGCCGCGGGTTCGAGTCCCGGCGGAGCCGGCCCAGCCATGGCCGCGGCCCCCGAGCCAGCGGAGGCCGAGCCGTGCCCGGAGCCGCCCGCGCACCGGCTGAGCGTGGCGGAGCTCGACCGTGAGCTGGACTGTCGCAGCGAGCTGGTGCGTCCCGAACCTCCGTGCCGGAGGGGCACGGCCGGGCCGCGGGGGCGGTGCCTGCCCGGGCGCTCCGCAGGGCCGGGGGTCCCTGGGACGCGCCGAGGGACGGCCGGAGCCCTCACGCAGCGGCCGTGAGGGGCGGGCGGCGGCTCCCCCCGCGCCCCTGCCAGGGAGGGAGGGAGGCAGGGCCGGGGCTCTCAGCGCTCGGGCGGGAGGGTCGGCGGGGGCGTCCCGGGCTGGTCTGGGCCAGTCCCTATATCGTGACACAGGTCTCCGTCGCTGTCATTTACATAAATTTCTCGTGCTTCACCGTATACAGGAAAAAAAAATCAACAACCCCCAAAGTTCTGTGTGGCGGGTGCCTTATGTAGCAGGTACTGAGTCAGTAATTTAATTTCACTCTCGCTGCAAGACCCTTTATAGTGCAATAGCGTGTTTATTCTCAGAACATCGTAAGTATTCTATGACTGTGGAAATAAGTCTCACACAGCCTCGAAGAAGGAAATATCCTCACTCAGCCGGGTGAAACTATGTGTGAGCCTGCCCTCGGAGCTCTTGCCTGCCTTTCTGGGCAGAGGTGTGTGTGCATGGGTGCTTTTTATGTGGCTGTAATTACGGTTTGGAAGGCAGAGTAGGCAACCTAAACTCAGGCTGTGGTTTCTGATGTACAGATTGATGACAAAGAATTCGACATACCTCAAGTTGATACCCCTCCAACGCTGGAGAGCATCCTAAATGAGGTGAGTGAGCCATCTGACAGGGGAGTCAGGTGAGGCAGCACATGCTCCTTTTCCTCTACTCTTACTGTGATTTTCCTGGAAAACAATTGTAGAGCTTCATGGTTTCCTGATGCTGATAGCTAGCAGGTGCATACTCGGTGGAGTAATTGCTCTATAGTGTGTGATATGGATATTTTTTTTGTTGTTTTGGGGTTTTTTTGGTTTTTTTGGTTTTTTTTAATAAAAATATCCACAGCTGCAGCATAAATGGTTTTCATCAAGTCCAAGCACATTCATCTGTAGATCTGGAGAGTCACCTGAAGTCTAGGCAGCCCGTTAAAGGTCAGGGTCACCAAACAGCTGTTTTTAGCTAAAAGTAATTGCAGAGTATTCAGAGTGGTTCTGAAACTGTGAGAGGAGATGAGAACTAGATTCTTCACAGCTTCATTTGTGTTGTTCCTTTCATATATAAGGTGTCTCAAATAGACAGTCTAAAAACAAGAGGAGTACTAGGGTAGCTATGTCTTGTTTCTGCTGGTGCCTTGAGTAGTGGAAGTTCAGTAAATTTGGGTTATCTCAAACTGTCAGGACATGCAGTGACATCCATGTCAGAGGAGTAGTCTTAAAATTGAGAGGTATTAATGAAGAAAATACAGTTCAGTGCAGACAAAGTCTTATCGCAGCATCTCAGTAAATTTAGGATGGGCCAAACATTTCTGAAAAGGATTTTAGCAGAGAACAACCTGTCTGAGCCAAAAAGACAAACAGCTGCAGTTCAGAAAGAGATGCTTAATGAGCACAGGGCTGCCAGGTGAAAGTGAAGTGAGGGGCAGCTGCTCTGCTCCCTGCTTGTTTGGCATCAGCTGCGGGATTGTGTTTGCTCCCTCTGGCTTTGTACTGAGAGACCAACAGGAGCTGCACTGGTTTTAGAACACACCAGGGACAGTGACTTTTTGAAAAACTGTAATAAAAAATTCCAGGCTAAGACTGAAAGGAGAGAGGGATAGCAAACAGAAATGCTGAGAAAAGAGCACAATCAACTTTCGTGTCAGCTGGAGAAATTTCTGGGCTCTTGGTGCCACTTGGTGAAATGCTGGAGAAGATGATGATAATTCTAGGCCTTCTCTTGGCAATTTGGAGACTTGGAAACAGCTCTGTTAAAGGGCAGTTAAAGTTTTGATGGAGTACATAATATTTGGGGAAGAAAGGTCAGCTGACTTGTTCTCCAGACCACTTCTGTGATTTTTGTGAATTCTGGAAACCTTCCATAGAATCAGCCCACTAAAGTAATAAATATTTCTGGGTTTCAAGTCTGAGGCTTTCTTGTGCACTTCTCCATTTCCCTGCTGAATTGATGCTGCTTTGCTAATGTTTCAGTTATGTTGTTGTGCATTTTGAACATTTAGTAAGCTGTGGTGATTCTTGCCCTCCAGACTGATGATGAAGAAGAGTCTTTCATTTTGGAGGATCCCTTTCTCTTGAACATTGATAACACGGATACACACTCCTATGACACCTCTTCTGTGGCCAGCTCTGACAGTGGGGACAGGACACACCTGAAAAGGTACTGCAGCCTCATACCCTGGGAGGTCAAACCATTTATGAACGGCTTCTGCTTACATCCATTAGAAACAAATCCTCCTTTTTTCATAAAACACTGTTATTCCTCCAGGATCATGTAGGCAAAGATGGGATTTGTAGTTGCACTGGGGACTGGCCTGTTTGAGCAATAATGGCATTTTATGGGAGATGGATTAGTTAAATTTCTCCAAATTTTAATGGAATCTTTGAAGCACTGAATCATGGTGACTCTAAAGAAAATGTTTCAAAGGGGTGTCTGACCTAGTCTGCAAGTAGCTGGTGGTTATTTTTAAAAGGCAACTGCTGTCATGTCTGTGAGTGGACTGGTAATATTGACATCTAATACATGATAATTAACTCTACTACTGCTGACATATGTCCTTAATTACTCAAATGATGGCCTGAGCCACTCCCATGGCTGCCTTGTATGCCATGAGCATTTGCACAGGATATAAACACTCTGAAGTCTGATGGCTTATGTTGACATAGGACAGACTCTCCATCCCTTCTTTTTTCAAATAAGATTATTTGTACTGAGAGAAATGTTACCTGGAATTGCTTAAACTTTTTCCAGTACAGAATATGCAGAAAAACCTGGAGGTGTTCTGTCACCTTTGGGTAAGGCTGGTTGCCACGGTTATGGGTCCTTAGTCATAATTCCAGCTACTAACAACATATTTGATGAATCTCTGTGGGAGCTGCTTGCTTGTGCGCCTCTGGAGAGAGAAGAACCCAATGTTTCCCTGGTAGTTTTGGGAATTTGGCTCTCTGGTGATGTGAGCTTGGCAACAAAATTGCAGTTTTGCTGGGGGATTTCCCTGTCCTGCCTTTCAGAGTTTACCAGAGCTGTTTTGAAATAACTGATCCTGCACTAGTTAGTTTTAAAAGACATATTCTCCATAAACAGAAGCACTTAAGCTTTCATATCAGGTGAGCTGTGTATTAATTGAAGGCTGTTCTCTGCCATACACCCAGTTTTCCTACAGGTCTCGTTCTGCTAATGAGCCTTTTCCAGTCGTGCATTTTCTGCAGATACTCACCTTTACAGGCTTAAACTTCCTCACCCACTGAAAGAGCTGTAATGTTGCTTTCAGCATGTGTTAGTGAATTCTAAGGCTTGCAGATATGTGCTTGAAACCAACCATTTGTTTGGGGAAATAAGTTTTTTTTACTCGAGGAGCTGAGTTAAAACTGAACTGCATGCAGGCACAGCAGGGCAGAGAAGGCTTTGCTGATTATCTTATGTCTTACCTCATTCTGTGGCCCCAAGAAGAAGAATGGAAATTGCATCAGTTACAGGTGTATGCAGAATTTACCTGCTGGCTTGGCTGTGAGTTAGGCACAGTTCCAAGCTTTTATTCTGCTCTAATGCTTTTTTGTTTGTTTCTTAATTCCTTAGGAAGAAAAAACTCCCAGATTCTCTCTCACTCCATGGATCAGTGATACGGCTCTCCCTCCTGAAAGGAATTTCTGCCCAAGTAGCATCTGCAGCAGTAAGTGTCATCTTCTGGGCAACTCCACTAAGAAAAATTTGAAACTCTTTTGATATGTGTGGAGGGGTGTGTGTGAGATTTCCTGTCTGGCCCTACTGTTAGGGGCATCAGCTACTAGCCTGTAGTCTGTAGGCAGCGATGAAGCAGGGCTTAGCTGACTTGCTGCAGCAGTGGTGTGGTGGGTCACTTTTAGCACTGATTTGTGTTGTTAGATGTCATGAATTGGTGGGAAATGTTCATATAACATGAAAGTGTGCTTGAAGGTGCTGGAACTTGGTTTTCTCGATGCCTCCAGCAGACACATGGCTCTTTGAGAAGAACAGAGTAACTTTCACATGGAATTACAGGATATTCTGCTTCCTCTCTTTCTGGGCGTTTCTAGCCAATGATTCCCTCAGCTCTGTCTGCCCTGCTGGGGCCACTAAAATGCAGCTGGTGGTGATTTTTCTGTGTGTTGTAGTTGTTCTAATTATTAGACATGCATGATCTATGAGTTGTGTCTCTCACTCACGGGGTCTCCTGTTTCCCCAGGACAAAGTGGATGCTGGCTTGCCCACTGCAATTGTAAGTACTCGTACAATTTTCAAGGATTGTATATTTAGTTTTCATGCCAGTTTGTTAAAGCAATATTAAGACAGCTGATAAATGCATCTTCCTTGAATTTTCAAGTGGGAGGAGCAGTATGAAAGCTCCCTGGGGCCAGAGTCCAGCCTTCCTTCATTGCCCAGCTGCCCCTCTGCTGAGCAAGCCCCACACCCTCCCTTTTTTATATCATCACCAGAGTGTCTTAGCTGAGCACCTGATGTGTCTCCATCTGTTGAGCACACTGAATTTCCCTAATTGTTTCTTCTTTGACAGTTTTTTATGGAAACTTAAACTGGAGTGCTGCAAATGATGGGTTCAAAATCTGTCTCTGTCTGAAGTATTAACTAAAAATCTGTCTGAAGGATACTGCTGCTTAGCAATTTGCATCAAAGTTGTTGAAGTCAAGCATGCTAATCATGTCTAAATATGTCAGAAACTACATGTAGGAGAATGAGAAGATAAACATTTTAATGAGGTGAAATACAGTCAATATTTGTTCTGCCCTTGTGAAGTGAGTTTTTATGTTTTATGAAGGAACTAAAGGTGTGCTCAGTCCCTTCAACTGTAGCAACAGCAACCCATAAGAAAATACATTTTTGTTTAAAAAAAAGAGGAAAAAGTAGTCACTTCTAAGGCAAAAGACTGTGCAGTGAAGTTGGAAACATGCTGTAACCGATATGTACATAGAATAAAAACCTGTATTTAAATATCCAGACATTTTAATTTTTTTAAACTGACTTAGACATTTTAAGAAATAAAAAGTAGAACAAGATGAATACATCTACAGCGTTATGTGATTTCTAGTAAGTTTTATATCATTGAGTGCAGGTTGGCAAGTGCAGTAGGATCTTTGGGGATTTAATTCCCCATGGAAAGAAATTGGAGTCTCTGGCTTGCTGTGGACTGCTCTTCAGGGGGCCAGCACTGGCCAGGGTTTTAGAAGAGTTCAGACGTGTAAGAAGCAGCTGATTTAGGATAAAATCCGAAGTATTTATACTCAGCAACTACACCAAAGAGTGAGACTGACTTTAGAAAGATGAAATTTTGGTGTGGGTACCACTCTGAGCATTTGAATTTCAAACAGCAGAGGAAAAAGCAGCCCTCTGATCTTGAGATATTCTGTGCGATGGTTGTTCAGGTGTAGTAGCTATCTTGGTTGTTCAGGTGTAGTAGCTATCTGCCTTCATGTAGGAATTGTGCTTGTCACTTATAAATTGAAAAAGTTATAACCTTTGAAATTTTCCAATCTTTTGGAAAACTTTGCTTATAAGTGGTGGATTTGTGAAAGATGTTTCTTCTGCTTTCAATCTTCCTGTATGACTCTTTCAGGCAGCATCAAATCTGATAGCAGTGGGGACTTCCCATGGGTTAGCACTGATATTTGGTAAGTTAAAAATAAAATCTGGAGGATTTTTTTGCATTTTAACAATCTTAAAAAAATACAAACATAAGCTAAAAACTGCCAGCCTGATTTATAACTGCAGGCTGGGTTTCTTCTAAGACGTTTGTGCTAAATGTGTTTCTCTTTCAGTAATGAAATGAAGCAGAAGTAATATTTGTCATCCTTATTCGTGTTCCTTGTGCATTGTTGGCGTTTGACACTTTGATATTGAGAAATTTAACCATGTGGGAATTGTCTAAAGAGCCTTTGCTATGTTTGAATAGAAAATACTCTGTTTTCATGTTTAAGAGACCACAACCTGTATGCAACCATCATCAGTAATAATCTTCTGCCCTGTGTCTAAAGATGTGTCAGCTTTATGGAAGTTAAGATGTGTTCCCTGGGAAGTGGGGCTTCTGACCCCTGGCTGTCTGCAGACTTGTGCCCTGGGTGTCTCCTTCCCTTCCCCTGCACCAGGCAGACACATCTGGGTCCCTTCATTCTGTCATTCTGTTCTTCCTCTTATCACCAAACTCTCTTACAAGGTTTTCTGAGTTTGTGCCTCTGTTTGCCCAGCTTACCAGCTGGGACAGAACAGCTCTTGAACTGTTCCCAGTCACATTCAGGTTTTGTGCCCTTTACCTATGCAGCCCAGTTCTTATCCAGTTAAAACATTTCAGTGTATTTATTCATGCTGGTTGAAATTCTTGGAGCCCAAAAGCTACAGGGGACAGGGTACTCCAGAGAGATGGGAAAGACTGAAAGTGCGAGACTCAGCTTCCTGAGTATTTAGGCTTTAAAATATTTGATGCCATTTGTTTAATTCAGCATTCAAACAATTCTGCTCCCTGAAGGGAAGGTGAATTGAAGAGAGCCTCAGATCCCACCCAAAGGTCCAAGGTGCTGGGTAAGGGGCACTCGACCTGCACTGAGGGGAGCTCTGATTAAGATTTTCATCCTGAGGGTGTTCAAGCATTAGATAAAGTTGAGACGGGTTGTGTCTCTTTGCTTGGGAATATTCAAAATTCATCAAGGCTCTGAGCTGGCTGGTCTCTTTGACCTTGCTTGGAGCAGCAGGACTGGGCCAGACACCTCCATGCAGAGCTCCCTTACAGCTGACATGACTCCATGATTCTGTGCTGTAATTTAAAAGTGATGAGGAATGGAAGTACAGTGTCCAGTTTTGTTTCAGGATGCTTCCTGGACACTTACTCTCTGCTGAATTCCTTCAGTTTTGTAACTAAAACTTGGGCATTCACTCCAGTGCTCTCAGATCTATCTAAAAAGAGAGAAATCCTGGCAGGATAGGGCTCTAGAAGGCTTTGCTTTGTGCAAAGAGAGGGTTGGAGATCTGGCTTGGGTTTATTCTGAAATGTAAACCAAGACTAAATTTCTGTAGACCAGTCAATATCTCTATTTTTTTTTTTTTTTTTTACTAGATGTGTAAATTAGGGTCAGATTTACTCCATGAAGGTTTGTAAAGTGTGTGCAGGGTTTATACTGTACAATGGGAACATAACGTCTTTTTTTGCATGCAAAATTGTAGGTCCATTTTTTTGGCTTCTGAACGTATTTCTCTGAATTGTTGTCACTAACCCATTTTTAAACTTTATTTTTTCTTTCATATATTTGATTTCAGCTAACTTGACTCTTTTCCTAAACCCACCTGTACTCATGACTTGTCTGCTCTGTCCTTGTTATAGATGACTTGGGAAACTTTAATTCTGCTTTTTTGAATGCTTCTGTTGACTCCTGAAACATTATCACAGGGCAGTTCTCAGGCTACACATGTAATATGGAAAAGCAAACTTCCCTTTTGGATTAATGTTGGATTAGATGCCAAGTCTGACATCCTGGAAGTGTTGCAGAAGAGGTGGTAGGAGGGGATGTCTGGAGGCCTGGAGACACTCACCTCTGGTACCTGGGTGAAAATAGTTTTACCAGTGATGCTACAATGAACTTCCAGTTTTATTTCCTCTCCAATTTCTATTTTTTTGGTCTTCTATGCATTGAAGTTCAAATGTATAAGCTCACTTTTTAAACTGCCTGGTTTTAGAACACTAGACATCACAGCATCATTTCTTGAATAAATCAGAAGGGGAAGCATTAACCAAAGGAAACATTCAGCAAAATCTGAAGTTTCTCTGTCTTCAGAGATTGTCAGATATATACTGTTCATTGCTTCACTCCTTTCTCTTACATTGATTTCTGGCTTTTCTCTCCTCTTTTGGCCCTTTCTGTGTGGACTGAAAGGCAAAGGTACAGTACCACTGCTGTGTGCATGTCCCTGCATGACCAGGCCCTGTGCTGCCCAGGTTGCATGTTGTCTGTGCCAGGATTTCAGGGGATCTCAGCAGTGCAGGAACCACTCGGTGGATGATGCTGCTGGGAATTGCTTAGTGGGTGCATGTGCACTGCACACTCCCAGATTCTCCAGGCAGGGACAGCAGAGGAGCAGGAAAATGTGGTTTTTGCAACGTCCTAGGGCAGCAGGTGAATTGCTGTTTGTAAAGGTGTTGTTTTGGGGAAGGACTAGGCTCTTCCATGAGAATACCATCCACCCACAGCATTTCCTGGCACTGTGCCTAATAAAATTAGTAGTGTGTCAGCAATTCTGCAGAAAACCAAGTAGGCCTTTCAAAGTCGGGAAAGTCAGGGCATAACGAGAAGATCTTGATGAAAACCTGGTCATCCAAGCAGTATCAACTTCTGCAGTGCCATGCTTATTTCTTTGGTTTGGAAAACTACGTCTTTCACATCCACAAACTTGTCTTTATTCTGTATGTCCAGAATTGTATTTAAACTCCATCTCATTTTGACTTCAGATTCTGAGAGCAGCACAGCTACTGCTGGAAAATTTTCAGATGAAGAATTGCCTTATGCAAATTGAAAAATTAAAAACATTTTTTGGCAATTGATAGCCACCTTTGTTTCAAGCATTTGGCAAAAGCTTTTTGTGTTTAATCCTTAATGTGCCTTACTTGCAAGCTGATAATAGAAGTCTGGAAAATCATTAGATCAGCTTTTATAACCTTTTACTTTTGTCTTTTTTTATTACTTTGCCAGCTTATTAGTAGAAGCTCATTGATTTTCTGATCTTGCTTTGCCTTGGAAGCAATTTCATCCATATTATAGTTGAGTTTTTTTTAAAAAAAATCTTGTCTCTTGGCTCTTATTGTGTGCCATCTTTTGGCTGTTGGGAAAAAAGAACAAGTACTGGATTGGTCATACAAATCACTTAATTTTGGGATACAATAGGGGCCTTGTTTGTTCTGAATTGACATTGCAGGTGTGGGAAACAGCAAATGGTTTCTGAAAGTTCCTGTGGGGATACATATAAAGATGTAAAACCTTTTCAGAGAAACCTGTGGAGGATTCTCCTTTTTCATGCCTGAGAAGAAGCAGGTTATTGTTTGAGTCAGTGACAAGTTTAGGCTTAAGTGGAAGTATTCCATGAATGAAGAAGTCATTCACCTTTAATATAAGGAGCTGCAATATTCCCTTATTTTCAAACAGATTTTTATGGTTAGGTGGTATTTTTGTAAATGAACTGCATTTCCAGGCCTCTGGAACAGGTGCTGTTTCTTTGGTTCTTGACACCATTTGAAGAATATCTTTCTGTGAAACCTGTTTCCTAGCTGTAGCTGTTTGCTTTGAACTTCTATGGAAATCTTTCATAATTCATCTTCTTTTTCCTTTACCTGTTCTGATCTATGCTGTGAACACCCCTGTCACAGTGATGTCAAGGTGTGTCCTAGCAGCATGGCCAAGAATGTTTTCTTCTCACCCTGAGCAGTGCTTTAGAGTAATCCAGGTGTTCAGCTGTTGTTGTTACTGGTGTTTGTTTCTGAACTCCACTCCTGCGTCTTCATACAGGTGGGATTTGAAAGGTGACTCCCACTCTCACTGTCTGAACAGACTGATAAATGCATTATTGGGCAAGAAAGGTAGGATACATCCATGCTGTATTTCACAGCCAGAACATTCCCAGCAGTGCTGCAGCTTGGAGGAACATGTCCCATGCCTTAGACACGTCTTCCAGGGTGTTTCTGGTGCTTAGCTCTGTTTCCTTGAGCCAGTGCTTTCCCTTCCTTGCTTGAGGTGAATCGAGCATGCAGTGTTATTGTGGTGCTTCTGATGTATTTCATATCCCTGTAGTCTTCATTCCAGTAGTTCTCACAAAGCATCTTTTCCCACTCCCTCACTCAAAAGCAGGACAAAAGTGGAGACAGGTGGAAAAAGCAGCTCCAGAACATTTTTCTTAGCTTTTGAGAGCAGTGCATCAAAGACAGGCAGAGGATTCTCAGCCAAACTCATGAAGAGCAGCATCTTGCAAAGTGCTTGTGAGTCTCTCACGGTGAGAGTCTCCAAGAACTTGGCACAGACAGAGGTGTCCATGGTTTGTGGTGTGCAGGAGTGGACAGGGCATGGCTCTGCAGCAGTGCAGTCCCTGTGGAGGCTCTGCAAGCCATGGCACCTCCTTTACAGCAGCCTGTGGCTCAGGGAGGGAGTTCCTTTATAGAGTAAGAGCTGAATGCACCAGAAGTTATTGAGTGTTTTAACTGTGCAGCTTGGAGACAAAAGTGCCTTTTCCTTCCAGCCTTTGGCCTTTAGCAACAAAGCCAAGGAGTAAAATTACATAATAAGAATAAAATTATGTCATATAATTTCACTTACAAAAGCCTCTGTTGGGTTTTTCTAATTGATGTTCAAAGGCAGAAATACAAGGCTCAAAAGGTAGAATTAATTTTGTCATCTTCATTGCTACAACTTAAACACTGTTGCAGAATAGTGAAAGGAAAGTTAGATACTGATTTGATTTTTCTAGTAGTTTCTTTTTCAGTATGTAATACCTCTGCATTTCCATATTTCCTGTCCCTGGTTTGTACTTCTAAAAATAATCTTTTATTATTTCTCTGCAAGTTTATTTAGTATTTCTCTTCAAGACAGTGTCCCACTCTTTTTGTTCTAACATGAGCTCTCATCTTGTGAACTCCTTTTTAAGAGAAATTAACTGTAAGACTGTGAATTGTTAATGTACCCCAGGTGAATTGTATGTGTAAATAATTTCATGATGTTAATTTTAACCATTGCTCTTCCTCTAATTTTTTTACTGATTGTTCTGCTCCAGATCAAAACCAGGCTCTCCGGCTGTGTCTGGGCAGCACCGCAGTTGGGGCCCAGTACGGGGCCATCTCTGCTCTCAGCATCAACAATGACTGTTCCAGGCTGCTCTGTGGCTTTGCAAAAGGACAGGTAATTCCCAAAGGATGAGCTGCTCCAGTGCTCTGTCCTGAGAGTTACCTGGAGGTGCCAACAGCTCCAAGCCAAGCCTCCTCGGTCTGTAGCTGCGTGTTGCTGGTTCAGTGCTCAGAAACAGCACATACAGCGTGATGTGCCCAGAGCCTTTTGGGGCACCCAGTTCCTGCTGAATCAGGTTTCTGTAGAGGAAGTGAGTAATGCAGAATATAACAAAGGGTTAAATTAATTGTGTCATAATTCCTGTTAAACTGAAATGTGCAATGGCTCACTGGGACAAGCAGTTTAGTCTTTCTGGGTCACTCTCTGAGGTCTATGCATGGTAATTAAAGCTGTTTTTTACTGTGGTGACGACTTGAAATTCTTGAAACTCATATGTAACCCTAAAGTTAATTTTTGCAAATACCATACTTGTATGTCATAAGTAGCATAGCTTTTGAAGGGAAAAGGGATTTAGTCTGTTGTAGTTTTATACCAAAAGAGAGAAAGCAATTTGTGAGCAAAAGTAACAAGACTAAACCAAAATAACTAGACATTACCTTGGTAACATTTAGAGGCGTACAAAGAAGGCTACTTTTTCTTTTTGCATTCATTTTCCTTTGCTTTCACCTTCATAGTAGATGAAAAACACCCCTGTGACTATGGTTGGACTAAATGACAGCTTGCTGCAGGCTGTACTTAATCCATGCAGAACAGCAGCCAGTTTTAAATGATGCTCAGATAAAATACTTTGGAACAAGAGCTCTGAAACATTTGGTCTAGAAGCATTCATGGATGAATTATGGGATCCATCAAGTACTGCTTCCCTTAAAGTTTTATTCAGATTGTAATCTCAGCTCTTCTGGGCAGTTATGCAGTGTGCAGTTTGGGATTTCCTGCTTCTTAGCTGAGAAATTGCTTGAATTTAATATTAAGTACAAGCCAAGGTCTGTTCTTGTATCTGCCTTGTCGTGCTGAGCAAGCTCAGGAGAGGAGGAACAAGGTTCATTGTAGCCATGAAGATGCTCGAGTTTTGCTCAGGGGTGTTAGCAGAGATTTTTCACCTGTTCACTGGTTCTGAGAGAGAGAAATGCATTTGACTTGTTGGGTGGTAACAAAGTTATATTACACTCTTTAATGTTCTTCTCAGGCAGATAGCTGTGAGATGAGGGAGATTGGGCAGGTGGGGAGAGCTGGCCAAAAGGACATGATTCAGAGTTGAGACAACACATGGTGTCAGCTCTAAGCAGACAAGTGAACTGCTTGGAGAAACAAGACAGGAACATATTTCAGGTTGCTTTTCTTTGATATGAAACCCCTACTAAGCCAGGATGGAAGTGTCAGTATAGGAATTTGTTGCTGTACTGTAATGCATGAGGTGAGGGAGAGCACTCCTTGACAGTGAATGTGTACTGAGCACAATCTGCTTGCAGATCACCATGTGGGATCTGGCCAGTGGGAAGCTGCTGCGATCAATAACAGATGCCCACCCTCCGGGAACAGCCATTTTGCACATCAAGGTAATAAACACTAAATGTATTGCTTTTATCCCAGTTCTGTTCAGTCAGATGTGGTGACTTTCCTTGTGCAGTACTTTTAGATTTTAGATGAGAGCAGCTGCCTATGGCAGTGGTATCCAGAGATGAGAAAAATGAGCAGAAGTTCTGTTTTAAAATGAAACTGAGTATACTGACATAATAGTTTTGTCTGTGAGTTGTACTGTAACAAACAGTTGTTGTCTGTTATAACTCCTCTCTCCAATGCCAAAATGTTGAAGAATTAGTTGTTAGAACACAATTCTCTAAAACTTGCAGTGTTTTGACCTGAATACATGACTTGCCAAGTTTCAACTTAAAAGAATCTGAACTGTAGAAAGTAGCTTCTGTAAGCAGTTTTTCAAATAGCTTGTTGGGAATGTTTTGGGTTTAAAGAGAAAGCATCTATGTCTTCTTGTTCAGCATAGTGTTGTTGTCATACACAGAAAATCATATCTGAGTTTGTACCTGGCTTTGTTTCACATGGCCTCAAATGTTTGTGGGCTTACAGATTCTGGATTGCAAACACCCCAAGAAGTGTCCCCAGTGGAGACTGTGATCCTTTGCCTGAATTACTCAATATCTTTAGAAGTTCAGGATGTTTCTGATTTGGGTCTGTCTGTAACTGCAGCCCATCCAGCAGCTCTGGCCCCAACCCATGTGCTTGAGGCTGAGAGCCCTTCTAGAGGCAGCTCAGGTTTTGGTGTGATGCAGTTCTGAGCTGCAGCATAAATTAGTGGGCCTTTGGTGCCAAAATCTCTCAACAGGGCTTGCTGGGGATATGAAGGTGAAACACAAACCTTGCTTTTCTTGCATGTCATAAAAAACCCCAGTAATTGTCTCAACTCGGTATGTTAAAGGTGTCTTTCTGTAGGTGCACTGCTTGTACTCTGTTTGTTGTTAGTACTGCCATAGCATGTATTTTTATATTCATTTTTTGTAATTTATTTCTTAGGGCCATTTTAATCTCGTTTTCTGCTCAGTTTACAGATGATCCGACACTCGCAATTTGCAATGACAGCGGAGGCTCCGTGTTTGAACTGTCATTTAAGTAAGACAATAACTCTACCCAGTGAAAGTACAAGAAACCAATCCTGGGGTTGTGGTTTCTAAAACCTAGGGAGAAGAAAACCCGTTGAAACCAATACAGTTACTGCCTGAATGTGGAAGGTGTAATTTAGGGCTGCAGAGTGACTTCTCAGCTGAAGCAAGATGCTGTGTGGCAGTGCAATACTCAAAGAATAGCTATAGTTGTTAAGGTGTCACTGTATTGTCCAGAATTTGACACTCTTTATAGGGTCTTGGTAGCTGTCACAAAAGTGCTACCTCTCATTTTATCTTGGCTCATTAGTGACAGCTGTCCTGCAGTAGCTGCTCATTTTACTTTTGGCCTCTTCCAGAGGAGGAAGGACAAGGAGGAAGGATTGACAGTCAATCTGATAAAGTCCAGGAATTTCCCAAACCTTATTCTCAGATAAGATCTTAAGGAATTCTTGTCTGTGTCTGAGGAGCTGCATGGGATTGCCTCCAGTGCTATGTCTGAAGTGATCCCTGGGGCTGTGTAAGGGACTTTTTAGAAGAAGTGTTTATGAAGGATCACTCCTGAGATTGTTGGGCTGCCACCAAGCTGATCTGTGCTCTTTGCAGGAGGGTTATGGGAGTGAGGACGTGCGAGTCTCGGTGTCTCTTCAGTGGCTCTAAGGGGGAAGTTTGCTGTATTGAGCCGTTACATGCAAAGGCTGATTTGAGAGACCATCCTATCACCCAGTATTCACTGCTGGCCATGGCCTCCCTCACTAAGGTAATTTGCTGCTTGCAGGAGACTTGATGTGAGAGATCACAAAGAAGCTCTCTGCTGTATACTCAGACATTCTATTTTGCCTTCTTGTTTTCCTTGAAGATCCTGGTTATTGGCCTGAAGCCATCTCTGAAAGTGTGGATGACCTTTCCCTATGGCCGTGTGAGTAATAAAGTGAAACAGGTACTTTTTGGGTTATGGCTAGAAATGTTTTCTTGGAGGGAAGGAGATGAGATCAGGAGCAGGTGTTTGGTAACCAGTACTGCCTTCCACAACACTGTGAAATTGCAGTGATAATCTGTGGGTCTGATGTGTGGAGATTGCAGAGAGGAGGTGAGAAGGCTGTTTCTACCTGTACCTCTGTGAAGATGCTGATTTTCTCAAATAAGCAGGCGTCCTTCAGCTTCTTGTCTTTCCTGCTGCAGTCTGTATGCCTCCAAACGTGGGATTTTGACCTGATTATGGCTACAATCACCTTGGACTGGGGCCACTGTTTTATATTAGAACCATACAGCAGTACCCTTAATTACAGGGACAGGAACCAAGAGGAATTCGAGCATTAAACAGTCTTCTGAATTCTTGATTATTCACTTTCACTGATCAATGGCCTAATTCTTGGAAAAGTAGCTGGGGGAAGATGTGGGATAGGTTATGTTAGGAGAATGGAGACAAGGGGAATATCAAGCTGCAGCTTGTTGTAGTCCATGTATCCATGTGGGATTGGATCTACCCTGTGCAGCTCGGACACCAGTGGTGTTCTGTCTGGGTGTCCATTCTGCCAAGGGCTCCCAAATGTGTGCATTGGGAGAGAACAAACTGCTGCCAGGAATTTGCTTTGCAGCACCTGTGTGTACCAGGCACAGTCAGAAGTGAGAAGCAGCTGATGAGCCACATGTTCTGGAGCTGAGAGTCTGCCTGGTGTGCCTGAACCCCTGGCTGTGCTTTTTGTGTGACAGATGGACCCTTCAAGTGTCCCTCTGCTGGCGTGGCACTTCGTGGCTGTGCAGAACTCGGTGAACCCCATGCTTGCCTTCTGTCGAGGAGATGTCGTGTACTTCCTTCTGGTGAGCCTGGGCTGGTCTGTGCTGCTTTCTGGTGGTCACATCTCATCCACACATTCAGGGATTGAGCCTCTATCTCAGTGACAGTATGATAGCTGAGCATTCTGGGAGCAGCTGCAGCTTCCCAATGGCTTGGGAAAACCAGCCTAGTGGTCACTGCTTTTCAGCTGCAGTGGTGCCTTTGCCTGGAGGCATGAGATTTATCTGTCCAGAAGTATTGATTTGCAGCGTGTTTCTACTGGAGATATGTGTGTGGCTTGTTTTCTGGGAGAGCATGTGAATTTGAGACACCATCTTAGTTTTTGCTTTAAGAGATGAGTCTGGAAAAAAATTGTGTAAAACACTAAGAAAAGATCTTTCAGTCCTATTGGTGTATAACTGGAGGGCTTGGTGCTCATCCTGTTTAGATCTGCAGCAGTTACACGTGCAGATATGATTGTTTGGAGACAATTTCATGCTGCTTTCAGTATGAGAGCAGCACCTAGCCTTCTGAAAATCTGGCATTTTGGCTTTGGAGTGCTAAGTTTGTTTTCCAACTCTGCAATCATGTGGGACCTTAAGTTTTGTTTAAGTTCCCAGACATGCTGTCTGGATTGAATCCTCTTTCTCCTCTCTCATCTCTCCTGGTAAAACTGGGGAGAAAAAAAAGGGTGCATGTTTAAACTTTTCTTGCTGAGATGCTTGTCTGGGGGGAGCTCAGGATTCCTGGAGTCAGTGTGGTGCCCTGTGGGAACTGAGAGGCTGAACTGAAGGAAGTCTTTGAGTCTAAGTCAGTCTTGTCCAATTTCTCTTTTAGGTCAAGAGAGATGATAGTGGTGCAATACATGTCACAAAACAGAGGCAGCTTCATCTGCACTATGATCTCATCAACTTTACTGTAAGTCTCAGTACTGCAGAATGATTAAATTTTTTTTGCACTAGTTTTCTTGTAAATGTATCTCACTAGCCCTTAGTTCTCTGCTCTTGGCCGTATTTATCTGATAGCTAACTGAAAATGTCATTATGCTTGGGACTCTGGGAAACCAGCACAGTGTGGTAACCACCTGGGAATGGGTGGTGTAGTTGCCTTATATTTGACACCTCTGGATAGAAAGTGTGCTGGAGCATAAACTGTGTGCCAAGAGGACAAGAGCTCTGGTGGATTACCATTTGTCTATAGCTGTTTTCTATGAAGATTCCTGTAATTTCTCTGCAGAAGAACCTTCGTTATCTCTGTGTTTGATGTAATGCATGTGTGCAGTTGTGAAGTGGCTGTGTATAGTAACTAAGCTACTGGCTGTCCCAGAATTCCCAGTAGGGAATGATCAGGGGTATGGCCAGAGCCTGTTTCCTTGGCTCTAATGCAGAAAGCATTGCTGAAATGTGGAATTTGGTGCTTTTGCAGTGGGTCAACTCACGGACAGCAGTGCTGCTGGACAGTGTGGAGAAGCTGCACGTCATAGACCGTCAGACTCAGGAGGAGCTGGAGACCATCGAGATCTCAGAGGTTCAGCTGGTCTACAACAGCAGCCACTTCAAATCCCTGGCCACAGGGGGCAATGTCAGCGAGGCCTTGGTAGGCACTGGTGGCCTGTTGGTGTTTGCAGCTGTATTTGATGTAGGCCCTAAGTGGAATCCTGGAGGGAAAAAGCCTTTTGGGAGCATCTCAGAAGTCAGACAGGGTGGTGACTAGCACAGCTAACACACAGTACATGTTTTCTTTGGTGCATTGAAGGGTGTGGGGACTGCTCCTCTTTTACCAAGGTCTGGAATACTCTGTCTAAGATAAAAGCTCATGTGCTTTATTCTTTAAGATGATTTTTTACTTAATACACCACAGACTGGAGCACTGGCTACTGGCAGTCAAACTGCTGTTGTAGCAGCTCTCATTTCAATGGATATCTTTCCATCTGTGTGCCCTGCACATTTGCTCTTGAGGAAGGTATGTGAAGAAGCAAGGGGCAAGGAAAGGGCCCCCATAACCTTTTGACACCTGAGCATAGTGTCAGAGCCTTACTTCATGATATCTTTGTGTAGCCAGAGCTTAGTAGCACTTGAAGCTGAGTTCACAAGCAGGAGGGAGTGACAGCAGAGCTCTTTGACTTACCACTGGTCAGCAGTTTGTGGTGCTCTTTCTCCAGCCTCATTTTGATTTCTGCATTACAAAGGATCTTGAAAGTGTATTTATATTGTTTGGGAAATAAAACAAACAAACAAACAAAGCACAGTTTTACTTGCAATTGGTTTTTGTCCCTGTAGGCGCTGGTTGGAGAGAAAGCTTGTTACCAGTCCATCAGCAGCTGTGGTGGTCAGGTCTTTTACCTTGGAACTAAGGTAAGTGGGGGGAATTTTTCAATAAAAATACGGGGCATAGAGTGTTCATGGTAGCTCTTCTAGAAAAGGGCAATATGTCTTCTATGGAGATGTGTATTGGGAAAAGGTTCTTTGTGCACTTATGTTTTGGGGTGAAGGAAATGTGCAATAATTTGATTTTAGCCAGGGTATGGGCTGAGTGAGACATTGTCATAGTTTCACAATATCCTGATTCATTCTGCTCCAGGGTAAACTTAGCCTTACTTAACTGATATGTCCTCTGCCCTAAGCTTCTCTGTCTCTGTTAAAAATGTGCTAGTGAATAAGCAGAAGAAGATAAGACAGCAGCTAAAACTGGGCTCCAATTGATACTGCTTGTGGGTTGCTTTTTTAATTCATCTGTGCAGGCATGCTGTGGTGGGTCTGTGGGGTACTACAGGCTGTATGAGCAACTGCCAGTAAATAACTTTCAGTTTTTTTTCTTTCCCAGTCTGTTCATGTCTTGACATTGAGAAGCTGGAGAGAGGTATGTTGAGATGGAGAATACATCTTAGGCTTGAATTGCTTAAATCTAGCTCAAAATGGGGAGGGAGCATTTGTGAATAATTTTCTGGGTACTGTGTTCAGGATTCCTGATTGCTACACAGAGCCAGTGCTGTGGATACACTGATTTTCATGGGGACACTGGGACTCCTGCTTGCCTAAATTCCCAGGCTGAATAATGGAGATCCTGTTCTCCCAAACAAGACATCATGCCTTGCTCTGTCAGTTTTTGTTAGTGCAATGCATGACTTAGGAGGAGTGTATGATGAAGCCTTCCACAAGCTTGTGTGCAAACTTGTATCTGCCACACAAACATCCAGGAGTGAAAGAGAACCTGCCTCACTGGAGTTTGTCTCTAGCTACTGCAGGAGCTGCATAATAAAATCCATCAAAGACCACCTAGAATGTTCATAGGATTTTAGGTCCTTGTTGGTTGAAGTTTTTTTTTTTTTTTTTTTTTTTTGGAACATAATTTCTGTGACAGCTGAAACCTCATCAATGCCCACACTAAAGTTCTTAGTGATCTATTCAGATCTTTTCTTGTGTTGTACTTTCCACTTGAATCAAACAGCTGTTTTCCTTTCTGCATCACCACTTTGCAGTATGTTTATTCAGTATGTGCATGTTTTCTCTCAGGCTTTGTTTTGCAAGGCTAAGCAGAGCTCTTTCAGCTCTCTTGAGGTTACTTTGTCATTCCTTTCTTTATTTGTAGTCCTTGTTCTCTTTGTGTCCTGTGTGCTCAGTTTCTTGGGCATGGGCAAACAGTTTGCCACATACTGCTCTGGGTAAGGTCTTAAAAGTGCCATACACAGTGTCACCCCTTCTTCACAGTCTCTGCTAGATGTGTCATTTCTCATGCATCCTTGGATCTCATTTTTCTGTTCCTTTGGCTATGTGATGTCAGTGACTTGAGCACTGGAGATTCACTGGTGCCCCATAGCCAAAATGATTTCTGCTGGAAGTTGCTTGTGCTGTTGGGTAGCATCATTCTTCTGTTACCAGCCTCAGGGGCACATCTCTCACGTCTTTCTGTTCTTCTGTCTCACCTCACATGCTCCCAATTGGTCATCAGCAAACTTTAGTAGTAAGTTCAGCTTATGCCTATATGTAGACGGCTTCAGTGAATTAAGAATCAGCTTCTAGACTGATTCCCAAGGAGATCTGGTAGCCATTTCTTTGCAATCTCATATTTCTCCTTTAAGCAGTGACCTTCACCATTTTTCCTCTTGCTTAGGTTGCTTTAGGGCAGTTGTCCTTGTGTGTGGTTATAAACTCCTTTACGTGACATTGTATCAGGACCTTTAATAGGATATGAACACTTGAGCTCTGTTGAGGTTTTAGTTACCATGGCTGCTTCTCTCTGCTAGTTTTGTCTCCTGCCATTCACCACTGAATTTGGTTTAGTAAGTGGTAATGAAGAGTCTTGTTCTGATCCATGATTTCAGGTACAGATTTTCCTGGAATTCCAAAGTCAAACACAATTTCTGCTCTGAGACAGCCCCTTTTTAAGTTACTATAGGGTTTCTGCTATGTTGCAGTTGTGCCTCTATCATAGGGGACTTAACTGAGAGTTTGAATTGAGTGTGTGGTGCTTAGGGTGAAACTGAGAGTTCTTGCTGCAGAACTGGATTCAGGGCTGAGACCTGAAATCTCTCTTCTCTCAAGCAGTTCTTTGACACTGACCTATCATACCAAGGCCAGTGGTGCTTGACCTTGGGTGTCCTTAAAGCAGAAAATACTTGTGATGTACTTCAGTCCTTGCTGACTGTGAACTCAGGAGAAAATAGAGGGTGTAGGATAAGTACACCCTTTGCTGAAAGCATGGCAGAGCTGTTCACTCCAAGCTGTTGTGCTCCAAGTGATGAGGCAAGGAATGGGAATGGAAATTTTTTATCCTTTGTTTATCAGACAGTCAATAATGCTGTGAGTCTCCATCCATAAAGCATCTGACTTTAAAATGTCCCCCCACAGGGACTTGATGTTCTGGGACCTGACATTTCTTAGTCCAGCAGAAAATGTCCATTTGAGAGAATCTCTTTGAGATCCTGTCAATTACTGCAGTGTGGTGAGAGCTTCTGAGGTGTCTTGTTGCCTTGCTGTCAGGGGCCGTGACCCACTACTGGGAAATGGTGGTCTTAAAGGGGAGGGAATAATCTTTTCTGTAGCTCTGAGGTCCAGTATTCCTTGTTATTTTAGAGAGTTGACCACCTTCTGAAACAAGAACGTCTCACAGATGCCCTGGCTCTTGCTTGGTCCTTTTATGAAGGTAAAGCAAAGGCTGTTGTAGGTAAGTTTGGACTTGCTTGCTTCTAACTGAGACCTCTGGGGATGGTTTTAAATATGTGCACATACAGGAATCACTTTTTAAGGGGAAGAAAGCAGAATTGAGTTGAAGAGAAAATAGGATATGTTGCTTTGAGTTTGGCAGAAGCAATCTTTGTATGCAGTAGTTTTTTGGTTTTATTTTTTAAACTATAGTCCCTTTAGCAACTCAAATGAAAGTCAGGCTTGATCTGTGTGTGACTCCTTGCTGTTGTCACTTTGCCATGAAAGAGGTAGATCCAGATGTTGAATATCCAACCTGCTAAAATATTCCTGAAGGCCATGCATGACATATAGGTACCTTTCAGTGTGATTCTCTGTCAGTTCTGCCAAGCAGATGCTTTGATCCAGGTCTCTCCCCTGACTGTACAAGGAACTGAAAAAAACATGCTGGCTTTTGGCACCACGTTTCCTACAAAGGAGGTTGCTTCAGAAGTATGTTATTTATGCCAGAAACTGCCACTTGTGTGGTCAGAGTTGAACTGAATACATTGATTTTACAGCAAATAACTTCTGATGGCTTTGACAGATGGGATGCAAGTTCTCAGGACAGGATCCTGCTGTGAAATTGCCAGTATATGAAGATGTGTTTTGTTTTAGTGGATGGGTATAGCACAATAAAGTAGATTGTAATGCTTTGAATAATGAAAAACTGTATTTTTGAGTTGGCATTTATGATATTTTCCCCTTTCAGTGCACTTTATTTAGCTTCTTTGCATCAAGACCTCCTCCAGCAATTACCCTCATGTACAGTCTGACAGCTCTCCATTAATTGTTTTCTCAGTGTTAAACAGCGTTCAGAGCTGTTCTTGTTTGCTGGAAGAAGAGGGGGCTAAAAGTAGGACACAAAATTGTGCATTTACATATCCTGACCTCTGTATCTCAAGGGTAGTTGCGTTAGCATCTGAACTGTGGAGTTGTTTAATTTCTACTGGTAGCTTAGATGGGAAAAGCTTTGTTTTTCACCTCACTCCCTCATTCTTTCTAGGCTTGACTGGGGACACGAGCAAGAGGAAAGCTGTAATTGCTGACAGAGTGAGTCCCTGAGCTCTTCCCAACTGGATTTTCATGTGTGCTGATGTGATACTGTGTTCCTGAAAGGAACAGTTTCTGTCCTCCATGAGTTAACCCAACTATCTCTAGAGCATGTACATGTTCCTCTCTTGCTAAAAGTGGGAGCAGAATTTTAGAAAAAACTTGGAAATACCATTTGGGTAGAGGTGAGAGTAAAATTTGTGGCATTAGCAATCCAAAATGAGACATTATCATCCAGGCCTGGAGATCTCTGGTCCCCTCACAGTGAAGAGAAACCTTTTGTGTAGGTAACTCTGGAGTTCCCTGACCTTTGTTTGGCATGTGTCCATCAGTAAGTGACTTGCTGACTCTGAGGATGGAAACTGTGCTCTGTGTTTATGTGAACATGGAATAAACTCTTCAACTGATCCAGTTCAGTTTTTACAGGAACTCACTTCTGGGAGGGGTGTGTTTAAAGTACACACTTACTGCAATAATTATTTAGCTGTGCTCTGTTCTTTTTATTATATTTGTGGGTAGCTATGTTTTGCTGTGTAATATACTTTAACTTAAGTTTTGGGTAAAGATGAGCAGATGAGCCCTGTGCTTCAGGATATGTTCACCAGCCTGAAAACTGGCATTTGGCCTGGCTGGCCAGCTCTGTGGTCAGTTAAAGTTAGTGCAGGCCTTCAGTATCCCTCTGGGCACTTCTGTGCCATTGTCCCACCACTCTTTTGGCAGCCTCTTCCACCTTCACCTTCCTGCCCACAGCACTTCATACCCAAAATGGGACAGTAGAGTCCCATTACAGTGCTGCCAACTCCCAAGCCAGTCTGAAATGTGCTACCAAGCAAGGCCTCGGTATAGAATTTGGATGAGTTTTCTTATTTGTTGTAATTCAGATGGTTGAAATCCTTCTCCATTACACTGATCGGACTCTGAAGAAATGTCCTGACCAAGGAAAAATCCAGGTTATGGAGCAGCACTTTCAGGTATGGTGCTCCAGAGGACTCTTGTAGAAATCCTTTGGCTTTTTAAATTAACTTTGGTTTGCTGCAAACACTGCTTATCTATTTCTGAAAAATCCTTCCTGTGGTTCAGCTCAACTCTCACCTTTTGTGTGCACTCACAAAAGCAGGACTTGGGTATAGCGGGTGGCAGAGCAGAACCCATGTGCTCTCTGTACTCTGCAGGAGTGTTAGCAGAGCTTTTTTCCATATGCATCAGCATATGGAAAACCTGTAACTGTGCCAGTACCAGCTGAGTCAGATACCTCATTGTTACTGCTCTGTGTTGGCCAGGCTGCATTTCATGCTTTGTAGGATGTGCTTCTTGGCAGGATTATTGCTAGTCAGTCTCTACAACTTTGTTGTGTTTGTTCCCCAGGATGTGGTGCCTGTCATTGTGGATTACTGTCTCCTGCTGCAGCGCATGTAAGTCTGGGCTTGCAGACCTGTCCCCCAGGGCAAACCCCAGCACCCCAGGTACCCCAAATGCTGTTTCCTGTGACACCACATGGTATAGAGGAATTATAGCGCATCATTCCATGGCACACTTCACATCACAGGTCAGAGGAGTGCCTAAAAACCAGTACCAAAGTGAGGAACTCAGTACTCAAACCGTCTCTTAAATTTGCATTGGTGTGTTGAGGAAGAAAAGTTGCTTCGAACCAAGAACCTGCCTTGAGAGATATATATTTTATATATATATATGCACACTGATATATATTGATGTATCAGTACAGAAGCTGAACAGGGCATTCAGTTTCTGAACCTGGGAAACTCAGAGAAAATGGACTTTAATTTGGAGCCCTTGGTAAGTCGATAAGCAAGGAGATTTTAATAAAATTATTTGATAACTAAACTTTTCCTTCCTCCTAGGGATCTGTTATTTAACCAGATATATGACAAGATGAGTGAGAACTCTGTAGCCAAAGGCATCTTTTTGGAGTGCTTGGAGCCATATATCTTGAGTGATAAGCTGATGGGAATCACAGCTCAAGTGATGAAAGACTTGCTGCTTCACTTCCAAGACAAGAATAGGTTGGAAAACTTGGAAGCCTGCATTGTGCATATGGATATCACCAGTTTAGACATTCAGCAGGTGAGTGGTTGTGTTGCATACTGTATTGAGCTCCTCAGAATAGATCAGCAGTTCCAACATCTTGTGCTTCTAAGTGTAGAAAGTGGTAGAATGGCATGTGGGGTTTTCCTGTGTCCTTGGGATCAAATTCTGTGAATTGGGAGTTGTACAGTGTGGCTGTGTTTTGGTCCCCCAATTTTTGTCCTGGCATAGGTTAATGTGCCAGCAGCTGAGTGTGTTGGAAAATCCTTCACAGTTATTCTCAGTCACTTTTTCCCATTCTGCCTACCTTACCTGACATCAAAGGCTGCAGGAGCACAGAAAGCTGGAGTTGTGTTTGGATACTTGCTTTTGTACAACAGTTAGTGGAGCAGGGAGGTGTTCCTGCTCAGCAGTCCTGTTTTCTAATGGCATGGCTTTCCATGTCAAGGGTGAAGCTGCTTGGAAACCTGATATGATTCACTAACCCAATCAAACTACTGCAAGCAAGGCTTTTGAAGAACTGGAATTTTAAAATTTATTCTTTAACCTGATATGAATGTTAGACTCTAGAGAGTTAGATTCCATGCTTGCTGTGTGAGCAATAAGTTGAACACTCCTTTGGAGGGTTTGGGGTTTTTCACAGAGACTGGTTCTGAAAGCAGAAATTCTCATTCTGCTTTAAGTTGTACCCTTGGATGATGGAAGTGCAAGAACAGTGCCTGGGGAGTGAGAAAGCTGTGAGCTAGGAGCAGCTGTGTAGCTGCCCTGTGCTTTGCTGCCTTGCAGGTGGTTCTCCTGTGCTGGGAAAACCGCCTGTACGATGCCATGATCTACGTCTACAACAGCGGGATGAACGACTTCATCAGTCCCATGGAGGTAGGAGAGGTGCTCCTGCAGGAGGGGTTACTGGGCTGTTCAGCACACGTTCTTCCTGAGAAACAGCATTTCAGACCCAAAGCCTTATTTTATTCTCTGTATTCTTGTTCATTTCCATTTCCAGAGGGAAGTAATGTGTGGTATGTGCAGTTTGTTTCACTGCATGCAGTAGAGGAGAGAAGTGATTTGTAACTACTATGCTTTAGAGCACCAAATTCCCTGCTGAGGGAGAAATCCTCTGCAGAGTTAGGGCAGAAAATCTAGTCATGTTAATAAAATAAAAAGGAAAAGCAGCAGAAGATAATAACATGATTATTTAACGAGACTGCATGTACACAATTCATACAAAAGGCCAGAAACAGCCCTTGCTCGAGGCAGGCCTTGTTCTGAACACTTGGAAGAGATCTCAGCAGGAAGCACAGGACTCACTGTAAGGCTCTCTGAATGTCCAATTGATTCTGCTGGTTATTCTGGAGATATGCCAATGGCTCTATAACCCCCATGTGTTTCATCATGGAAGCACTCCTGGTGTTTTCTTAGTAGGGCTGAAATAGAGAACTGGAACCATTGGAATGGGATAATCTGACCAAGTTTTAGCAGCTGTAATCTCATTTGATTTTTCTAAGGAAGGAGTCTCTTTAGGTGGTCGTAATTTTAAAAAGGGATTCTGAAAACCCAGCAGTAGCTGTATGAGTACAAATAACTTTGTTTTCTAGAGGCAAGTGTTTAGACAAGTCCTCATTCTACATGCCCAAACTAGGCTCTGGTGACCCTGCTGCATGGTGGTGTTTGTTTAGTGACAGGATATACAGAAGCAGGATGTGGGGCTGGTGGGTTATGCTCTGACTGACCTCTGGGACTGCTGAATATTTCTTTGCTTTAGTGTGGCCTGTGCTTAGGGTTAGAAGTGATGGAATGACAGCTGTTTTTTAGAAAATTGGCTGTAAACATCTTTTTCTGTGCCTTGGACTCTTCTGTGCCTGTTAATTAGAAGACATGGTGATAAAGAGTTTCTGTGGGAAGACACCCCACTGATCTCTGTTTTGAAACCACACAGGTTCTTTGCTTTGAACTTTTCCAGCTGCTTGAGCACTGCCTTTTTTCTTGTTACAGAAGCTGTTCAAAGTCATTGCTCCTCCACTGAATGCTGGAAAGTCTCTCACAGGTACAGAATGCTTTCCCTTTTAAGGTTTCTACATTTGATAATTGATATTTTGAATATCCCTAGACACTTCCAACAAAGAGATGCGAAAGGGAACACATACCCAATATAAGGGTCTTGGAGAACAGCAGAGTGTACTAGTTTTGTGTGTAAAGCTGCTCTACTTTGTATGATAAACTCTGTTTTTGTGGGAGAAGTACTGCATCTCTGTCTCTTGTCTTGGTGAAGAAAGGGTGACGAATAATTTTTGTTTTGTAGATGAGCAGGTGGTGATGGGCAACAAGCTGCTTGTGTATATAAGGTAAGGTCTTTCAGAAAGTGTGAGGTGTTGTCTAGTGGTGGCACCAGATTTTAAACTTGCTGTAGTTGCAGAACCTTATTGGGAGCTTCAGGTTCTGAGAGATTGTGTAAAATAGCAGTGGGTACTCACTGCAGCTGACTTAAATTTAAAATCCCTTCCTGTTGCATGTGGTGTGCATGAATAGGAGGGATCAAGTTGGAGGCTTAGAGCCCACATTACTGCTGATGTACATTTTTAATTTCATAGTTAGGTTTTGTTGTGTGTGAGACACAGAGCTCCTTGACCAAGGGCTCAGTAGCCTCATGTTTTGTAGCAGGCTGTGTTCTGCCCCACCTTTTGGGATCGCTGTACTCAGCTGTTCCTTGCTGGGTTCCCTGTCATTTTCAGGAGCTTGCACAGGAGGGATACATTAGTGAATCCCCTTTCTGGAGTCTATGCAAGATTGTGAAGTTAGCTTCTGCTTTGCTCTAGCTTCCTAAAATAGAAAATTTTGGGGGAGATAATGAGTTTTCCTATTATTTTCCTGCTGTGGAATGACTGTACATTAATGCAGTGCATTGGCTTAGTGTGTATTAACAGCAGTGCTGCCTGGGATGCTTCTTGGTTTCATGATTTACAAAATAAATTGGTTTACCTTGTGTTAAGGGAAAATTAAGTAAAAAAATGAACAATTCTCAGTCTCTTTAATGTCAGTTGTATTAAAATGCTTTTCCCCGCTTTTTCCATAGCTGCTGCTTGGCAGGCCGTGCATATCCTTTGGGTGATATTCCTGAAGATCTGGTACCTCTGGTGAAAAATCAGGTGAGAAATCTCTTGGGAGGCAACTTTCCCATATGAGGTGTTTAGAAGAAGCTGCATATGTCTTATTTCATGGGTTTCCAAGGGCAAACTATTATCAGTCTGATAACTGTATCTTTGTGTTATGAGTGTCTCCTGCTGTAATTATAAAATTAGTTTTTAACTGAAATTACAAAGTTAGTTTTTAACAACTGAAATCAAACAGTCGTTACAGTCTGAACATTTAAATGTAATATTTTTCTTTCAATTGTAAACTGAGGGGTGGGAACACAGAGTTCTCAGTGACTGGGTTTTTTGCCTTACTCTTTACCACAGAGTTACCAGAAATGTGTAGCTGTTTTTTCTTTGTAAACTTAATGTGTCAAATATGGGAGAGTCTTCCCTGTTTTCAAATGCAAATGACACAGGATTAACCCTGGGGAGAAATGTCTCTAAGTAGCTTTTGGTTGTAGGTTTCTTGAAGGCTTTTGACTCTTTTGGACTAATCTGACAATTTCTTGAAACAGGATGTTCCTTATCATTGCTTTTTGTGCTCAGAAAACGTCTTCCTAAGTTTCTGGCTAGTTTTAGAACAAATATTTTTTTGTGTGCTTTTAGCATTTCATTTAAGTGTCAGGGTTCCAGTGAGAAGGAAGTGCTTTTGCACTTTCTCTTTGCAGTACAACGGAACAGCTGGTTTTTGAATGTGGGGTGGGTTTTTGTTTGTGGTTTCCCTGTCTGGCTTTTTTCCAAGTCCAGAACTTGTAGCTCTATATATGTGGTAGCTCTGGGTTCCTGCAGCCTCTTTCCTCAGCAGCTGTGCAAACCAGTCCATTCCACTTTGCTGGGCCAAGCACTGGCTGTTGCTCTCTCACAAGGTTGTTGGGCTGCCCCCTGCTCAGGCTCTGAGGGGAAGCAGGAGCCCAGTCAGCAGCAGCAGCCCTGAGCTAGGAGAGCCTTCAGCCTCTCCTTTCTGTGCTTCCTGGTGGTTCCCAGAGCTGGGCTTAAGTAACACCTTTGTGTCTGGTGGGCTTGTTTTGTTTTCTTAAGCATTCCTAACTGCCAGAGGTCAGCAGGGAAGGTGTGGATCTGACAGACAAGCTGCTAATTCCTGCTGGATTCACTGCCACTGTGCTGACAGAAAATGAACTCAGAACGGGAGTAAATGGGGGGAAGTGATACTTGCAGAGGATGGCTGGGAAAGCACTTTGCATGTCAGTTGTCCCTGTGTGTACCTGACACATATTCCTGAGTGCTGCTCCAGCCTGGAGCCACCTGCTCCCTTCTGCTGGCAGCCTGATCTTTTGTGAGCCTGGCTGAGACATCTGTAGCTGGCCCTGCCCTCTTGGGTCCCTGGGACGTACAATCCAACAGGGATTGGTTCCAGAGGTCTGGACACCTCTGTCAGGGCTCAGTAAAGGGAATTTATTTTGGAATATGCCCTCAAAATTCATGAACTACAAAGTCAGTGGAGGAGACAGAGCTGAAAAGCTCCTCAGTCAGTCTTTGCAGTGCCAGAAGCTTTGTGCTTCACAGTGAGGGGGCAGATTGACTGGGTCTTCCCAAGTGAACTGCTGACAAGGAGAGGAGCTGTGCCCTGGATAAGGAGGAGTTGCACAGCTTCCAGGAAAGCTGCCAGGGAATTTCACATGCTTCTGACTGCAAGTATAAATAAGCCTTTATTTTTGTTTGATCTTAAATTTTGATTGATCTTAAATTGGTTGGTGAGTCTTAGGAGGGGCTGACAAGCAACAGAAAACATCACTCAAATAAGAACTGATGGACCCCTAAGGGACTTTAAAGCTTAAGTGCAAAGCAGATAACAGTGCTGCTTTCCCACACACTTGTGCTCCCAGCTATCTGAAATCCATAGGAAATCTGCTGTCTTTGCTTGCCTTGTCCTTGCAGGTGTTTGAGTTCCTGATCCGGCTGCACTCAGCTGAGGGGTCTGTGGATGAGGAGGTGTATCCCTACGTTCGGACCCTGCTGCACTTTGACACGCGGGAATTCCTCAATGTGCTGGCTCTGGTAAGAGAGCCTGGCGTTCTGAGAGGAAAATGCTCTGCCAGTTCTCCCATCATCAGTGAGGCTTCTGTCAACAAATCTGTGATTTAGCTAAACCAGGAGTTCCTGGCTTGGGGCAGGAACACTTCTGGTGCTTTTTCTGTAAGATATCAGAAGGAATCACAGTAGTTCCTTTGTGGCCTTAAATACAGAGTGATGAGCATGACATTACACAGTGAAAGTTCTGGCAACAGTGGCTGTCATTAAAACAGAATAATATATTTGTAAAGAGTTGTCTAGTGCCTATCTCTTATCTCCTGCATGGAAATATGTCTTTTTTACTTTCCAAATGTCTAGAATTTCCTATGTCTATTTGGACCCATTACTTTCACCTGAATGTGTAAAAACCATTTTTGTAGTTACAAAAGAGCAAATTATATCTTGGAAGTATCTGTTTAGGGATATGCAGAGAAAGGACTTAAACCAGCATTGTCTGCTTTGTGATGTGGCTGCTGCTTTGTGTTTGCTGTTATTTTGAGAGAGTCTGCTCAAAATATCAGTATTTTGCCTCTTTCAGACTTTTGAAGACTTTAAGAATGATAAGCAAGCTGTGGAGTATCAACAGAGAATTGTGGACATTCTTCTGAAAGTGAGTGTGCCTAAAAACGACCTGTTTGTATCTGACTGATTGCATGCAGTGCTCTGCAGTACAGCCTGTAATCTGGAGGAAGTGTTTCCAGTCCTGCCCTGGCTGACACCTCTGAGAAAGTGCTGGGCAGGAGCGTGGATTCACCTCAGCCAAAGCTGTAGGTTGGATATTCAGAAGTGATGATTCATGCACTTTAAATATGCTGACAGAGAGGTCTCCTTTCCTGTGATTTCACTGGGGTGGTGCTCTGTAAAATTTCTCATCTCTGCACCGTTAAGCTTATTTTGATTGGCTGCTCATTGAATCTACTCCCTGGTTTCTTCTGAGCTGGTAAAAAGGTCCCAGGTATCCTGTGCTTGGCAGGGTGCCACTACTTTTCTGCTGAATCCCTGCTCCCAGTGCCTGTAAATGCTATGTTTGGGATGCAGCATTTCCAGGATGACAGGCCTATCTTTAGTTTAAGAGAGAAGAGAAATATCAGTTATCAGCTTGCTGCTCTGGAAATCACTTGTCATCCCCAGTCCCTGTTCCCAACAATGGATGTTCCCATTAAAAGCTCTCGCTGCCAAGCACCATTTGCTTTCCCCTCCAAGCTGTCACCATTAATCATGAGTGACTCCACTTGGAGGCTGTTTATGTATAAACATACCATAAGTAGCATTTCCCCGTCTCTGTCATCACTGATAGGTGAGACAAGGGTATGGTGAGTGACTTGGGTGGCAGTGCTGCTACAGTGGGCTGAGACAATGCCACTGTGAGGGGTTTTGTGAGCCTGCCTGAGCAGGATGTGGCTCTGAGGGTTGTTTTAGCCCTGTGCTGGCTCAGCCCCTCTGGTTTGTGTCCTGAGCTGCTGTTAGCAGGAGGTGGCACACTGCAGCCATGTTCCAGAGCTGCTGGGGATGTGTTCCTGTCATGGCACGAACAGCAGGAGGGCAGCTTGAGAAGGGTTGCAGCACTGCACCTTCAGGAAAACAATGTGGTGTTAAGAAACTATCAGTCCTTTGGTCTGGAATCTGCTGTCCTTTTAGATAAAAGTTTAAAACTCTTGAAACTTTCAAATTTGTCATTAGCAATAAAGAAAACACCTAGGAAATAGCAGTGCTTTTGAAATAGTTTGGTGAACACAGGCATTCTGCTAATACTGATCAAAACTTTGCCAAATGAATCATCCATGTGGCTGGTCTGCAACCTCTGGGAAGTTGCTCTATTCCAGAGACGCAATACGTTCACCTTCACATAGACTGACAAGAACCCAGTTTGTGAAAAAAAAGCTAAAATTTATAAAACACTAGGGATATTTCAGTGAATAATTTTTAACTACCTACGGTGTTAGGTAGTGCTGTTCTACTAGACTGTAAGAAATAGCCTTTTTAGACAGAAAATGAAAACTGAAAAAGAGTGATTACATTAACTGGTGTCTAAAGCAGAGCTCTGCTTGATTCTCTAATGTGTCTGGCCTGCCTGCCTTTCTTGTGTCACAAAACCATTAGCATCTCTTGGGGTCTGGAACTCTGGGTCACTTGAAGAAATCAATTGACTCCCCCCAGCTCCAACTGAATGAGATGATAAACTGTGAGCTGCTCCATGGCGAGGCTTTGCTGCAGCAGTTCTTGTATCTTAGCTGACAGAGTTTTCCAGGTGATGGATTTCCTCCCAAGTTAAACACCGTGCTCTTAGAGGGGACTCTCCAAACAGGGGAATTTCACTTTCACTTAGGGTTTAGGATTTTTTGAAGCAGGAGACAGCAAGTCAGGACACATCAGGCTCATTTTTTTTACACCAGAAGAGGTGAAAAGCACTTATTGGGTTTCCAATCCCTTTTGTAGTGACTCTTAGATATTCTTTTTTCCTGTAATTTCAAGTCAGCACAACCACAAGTTTCTCTAATGTTAGACTAATGCTAACTTAATGTGAGAAAAGCTTTTCCCCATGCCTGCAGTTGTTTCTTAGCTATTAGAGTAGTTCTTTTCATGCCACAGTTGAAGTAGTGAAATGAGGCTTGAAATGAGGTGTTTGGGCTTGTTTTCCTCTATAATAATTATACTTTAACTGTGTGACAACATTTTTCTGCTCAGAAGCTATTCCATGTCCTGTGATCAACACAGGCTACAGAGGCAGAGATAAATGTGGGTTTGGAGCCTCTTCACACCTGAAAACCAGGGACATGCAAGAATTCTTCCCTTGAATAGAGGGAAGAGAGGTGGAGCCTCTTCAGCTTTGGGACAGAAGTGCTTTAGCAAGGACACACCCGGTGCCTGTGTCTTCAGGTGACACAGCTGACTGCTGGGGAAGGGAACTTGTGTTTGACCTTCAGGATGGACTAACACCAAGAGGTGTCTGGGGTAGGAGACACAGTGGCTCACAGGGATTTCTTCTTGTCCCAGTTAACTTTCCTAAGGACAGCTGCAGAATCAGTTCCTTGTGGGTTTATTTTTCCCTTTTGTCTCCAACATTTCTCAGGTCATGGTGGAGAATTCCGACTTCACCCCATCGCAGGTTGGCTGTCTCTTTACCTTCCTTGCCCGGCAGCTCGCCAAGCCCAACAACACCTTGTTTGTCAACAGGACACTGTTTGACCAGGCAAGTATTCCTGAGTGTGTGTGACATTCCAAGCAGGATGCACCACTGCAGAAAGCATCGCCAGTGCTGTAGACTGGAGCAGGTCTGGAGGTACTGGTGCATTAAAACCAGGTGGCATCTTGCTGGGCTCTTGCTGAGGTTCCCCAGGAGCAGAGTAAGACAGACCATGGAAGCACAATACAGTGTTTCAGCTTGGCTGGAACTGCATCACATCCTAGGAAGTGTTCAAGGCCAGGCTGGATGAACCTGTGAGCAATCTGGTCTAGTGGAAGGTGTCCCTGCCCATGGCAGAGGGGTGGAACTGGATGATCTTTAAGGTCCCTTCCAACCCAAGCCAGGCTGGCATATGGGTGTCAACTAAAATTACATTAGTGAGCTTACAGAGCACATAAATGTAATGGGTAATTTTTAGTTCAGGTGGCCACTACCTCTCTGCTGTTGGAGAAAGACATTTACGCATGCCCAAAGCTTGTGTGAGTTAACTTTGTACCCCAGCTTAAGTCCCTGGGACTTAAATTCCTGGGACTGAGGAGGAGGCTTCACTGGCTACAGTAGTGTTGCTGTGATGACAGTAGGGATGTATGTGCACTGATAAAAATGAATTAGAATATGTGTGTCCTTGGTCCTAACTTAACACTGAAGAACTCTGTGGAGGCTAAACAGATTTGGATTAAACACTTTCATTCCACATATATTAAATGTTATGAATTACATAATTTCCTGTTTTCCTGATGAGATGGCACAGTCCAGGAGAGTGGGTCAGTGTAGTGAGGCCAGCTCTTTGGTGTGTAGTCTGAAGCAGAAACTTGGAGTTCCCTGAGTTCTTCTAAATTCCCTGGGTTCCCTAAAGTTTGGTTCTAGATCCTTGTGCAGAGTCCTGTGTTTCCCTCTCAGGAGTCTTTCAGCAATTCTCTGCCATTCCAGTATTCCCAGTTTGGTTCCAGGTACATTCAGATGGCCCTTTTGTGTGGTGCTTTGCTGTTGCCACTGCTGGTGCTCAGGGTGTGTGGTCAGTTTGTGCTCCCAGCTGTGCCAGCCAGGCCTGGCTCACACCAACCCTTACCCTGGCACAGGTGCTGGAGTTCCTGTGCAGTCCGGATGACGACTCCCGGCATTCCGAGAGGCAGCAGGTAAGAGCCTTCCAGGGAATGTTCCTTGGAGCACCAGGCAAGGCCAGACTCTGGGGCAGAATTTGGCCTTGGCAGTGAGTATGGGCTTTGGGTCACATGCCAAAGACATGGGCATGGGAATATTGGGCAGTGCTGGGCACAGCAGGAGGGAAGGGTCCCACTCCAGCACTGCTTGCAGGAGCAAGAACCAGAGGCAGGCAAGTTTTCATAAGCTCGTGACCTTCCTAGTTAAAGGACTGTCGATTAACAAATCAATGAAGACAGCCTTGTGTTCTTACCATGTTTAGAGCAGGAGCCATGTACTTGTAGTGGCATTGATAGTTCAGCTGCTGTTGCTGCCCTGTAAATAACTGGTGTTCAATCCCTGCAGGTCCTTTTAGAGCTGCTCCAGGCAGGAGGGATCGTGCAGTTTGAAGAGAGCCGCCTTATCCAAATGGCAGAGAAGGCTGAGTTGTGAGTTGCTGGACACAATATATAAAAACTACCTTTAAATCTCTTCCACAGATCTCTTATTGGCTCCACTTTTCTTGTTTCTACTTTGTGTTTGGGGTTATTTTCCTTGTGCATTCACATCATGCTTCATTTAATATGCTCACATTTAGTCCCAGACTTTCTTTCCTGGGTGCTCTCAGAGAAAGCATTGTTAAGAAAAGAAGGGGTAGAGTTGTGGAAACCCTTCAGAAGAAACCCTGTGGGACTTGATGGGTTTTGACATTCCTATCCTAGAGCCCAGGCTGTATTCAGAGGTACAGTTATATACTGGAGTGCTCTACCCTTGGCAGATGTAGATGCCTGGCTAGGGTGAGACCCACAGGTGGATTTAAAAGCATGAAGGGGTCTGGAGCCACCCCCATGGTACTCATTTTAGAATTGAGTAGGAGAGACAAAAACAGTGTCTGGAAAGGCTGAAAATTTCCAGCATCTCCTTTAGATGCTTTATGATTCCAGAAGGAGTCTGTCATGCCAGAGCAGAGCCAGCCAGGGAGGACATCTTCATCCAGGCTGTGAGTTTGGGTGTTATATGAATGAATTCACTATGCTACAAAGGATCAGAGGGAGAACAGTGTGGGGTGTGCCATGCCTGTTCTCCTGTGTGTCCTAGAAGGAGTAACTAAATCAAATTTTTCAGATTCAATAAACACATTTTTTCTCCTTGCTTCAGAGAATTTGACAGCCAGGCCCCCTAGCTCAGCCACTTCCAGAGGTGAAAGCTATAGTGTAATATTAATTATCAGACTCCTGATTTGGTTTGGCTCAGTTACATCTGATTTTATGTAAAGTCTCAAAATATTGAAGATGTTTATTAAAATGTGAAGGTAGGAAGCTGTGTCATAACACATTGTTGAATCATGTTCAGTGAATTTCTTCAGATTAAGTGTAGTGGATTGACCTAGCTTAGAGCAGAGTGTTGTGGAAACAAAGAAGATCCTCTCTGACAGCAGAACCTATGAGACCCGATTTCATTAAGAGTTGTTATCCTCTGTCCCTTGCCCCTCCCCTTAGTAACTCCTTTTCTCTGTTCTGTGTGATAATTTCCCAGATGAGGGAGCTTGCTGGGCAACCCTGATGGGTTGAGGTTGGCCTGAGGCTGGTACAAATGGCACTCCAGCACACTGGAGCCACCAGCCTGTATGCTGAAAACCCCAATGTAAGACACTTCCAAATGCTGCCTCTCTCTTGTGCTGGCTCAGCTGAGTGCTTTTCCTGACGTGGGAAGTTTCCCTTTCTTTCAGCTATCAGATTTGTGAGTTCATGTATGAACGGCAGCTTCGCTATGACAAAATCATCGGCTGTTACCTGCGGGATCCCCTGAGGAAGGTGAGTAACTCTGGTGCTCCTGACCTTTCTGCTTTGTGGCCATGCAGCCTGTCCTGCTGGCCACAGTGACTGGGCACAGCTGCCTTGCTCTTCTAGCATAATTACCTTAAAAATGCCCATAACAGTTCAGGTTTCTTAGTTGTAGTCAAAGCTGTTTGTGTATTGGAGAGGAGCTGATTTTTTTTTTAAGTTTCTTTTTAAGAGTTTTCTTTTATTTTTAAATGTAGTGCTAGTATATCAAACCTGAGTGCAAGGTGGGATTTACTGCAGATGTGGCTAACTGCAGTACTTTTTTGTTTCTGCTGTTGGTCCCCCCATTTTTCCCCTGGACACAGTCTCTCTGTCCTTATTATCTCTCTGCCATTACCTTCAGCATGTATACCTGCCACAGTTTTTGAGTTATTCCCTTCTCTACCACCAACAGAAGTTGGGACAAAAGTCTGGCAAATGTGACCTCACCAGGTCTTTATAAACTCACAATGCTGAACATTGTGTAGGTGAAGGAGTCAGAAGAGGAGGTTGTGATAGTGAGGTCGTTGAAAACCTTGACAACAGGAGGGCACCTGAGCTGGGGACAGTGCAGGAAAGCCTGGAGGAGAGGCCAGTGTCAGGGAGGAGCTCAGGAGCTGCGGAAACTGAGCTACCCTCTGGCAGAGTGTTCTCTCTGCCTGTGCTCCTAGCTCATGTGATGTCCTGTCCTTTTTCCCTGTGGGCAAGAGGGAGACATTTCTAGTAGGGGAAGAACAATTCTCTTTGACCTCAGTGCTTAACACATTAGCACCAGGTTCCCCTCGGCTATGTTTTCCTTCAGAAACTCTTTAGGGACATACAGCCTCCCTCTAGATAGCTCATCCTGACCTACTTGGGGAAGACTAGCCCTGAGGTCATGCCAAGGCTGCTGGAAACACTCTGGTTTCCAAAAGCCAGTACTGTCAGTGGTGCTGCAGAACACACTGCAGCATTTATGGGTTTGTGCCTTACAGGAAGAAGTTTTCAACTACATCCACAACATTCTGTCCATGCCTGGCTACAGTGCTGAGGAGAAGCAGGTGGTGTGGCAGAAAGCTTTGGACCATATAGAGGTAGGTACAGTACATCCTGCAGCAGCACTCCCTCAGCTCCTGCTAATGGCTCTGGGATCTGCTGGGTGCTTTTGCAGAAGCACAAATGCCCGGTGCTGAGTCACAGCTGTTGAGACAGCTCTGCCGTGAGCTCAGAGCTCTCACACATTAGTGTAAGTGCCTCTCTCAGATTCAGCCTGGCTTCCTTGGCTTCCTGGCTTCAAGTGCTGCTCTTTGGATAATGGTGCTTTCTCAGGGGTTGATGGGTAGTGAGTGCTGTGGAGCAGGAGAGGGATCCATTAGCAAGTGTTCCATCTCCTGACCATGCAGCAGGGCAGGATATGGACGTTACTGACCTCACCTCGCAGGCTGTGGGATCCAACTCCTCATCCTGATTCCTCACACTGAGAAGTGCATTCAGCCCTGGTGCCCTGGCACTGCTAACCTGGGGGATGATGGGGTCATGATTTCTGTGTAAGACACAGGCTGCTGTTAGACTTCTCCAACTAATAATTTTTCCCATGTCTTCAGTCTCTGTTGGCTTCATGGAATGAAGATGTCCAGTCAGTAAGTGTGAGGAATCTGTAATATTTCTGGCTCCTGTAAAGTGCTGTCAGTCCCCACCAGGGTGATCTGGAGATAAGCCAGGAAAATAATTCTGTAAAACAAGCCTTGCAGACAACACTCCTTAGCAGAAAATGACCACAGAATCTGTATCCTGTGAGGCAGGCAAAAAGCTAATGGGCACATCCAGAGTACTTTTAGTTTCTACCAGCATCTGCAAGTAGTGCATGACTAATGAGAAAATGGACCAAGAGGGAGAGTGATTCAAAAGGTAATGCACAAAGAAACCCTGTGAATGCTGCTGCCTGACAGTGGCTCACTGAGCTCAGAGCCCCTCTCTAGAGGCACTGGCAGAGCTGTGGGACTGGTGGGGATGGTTGTGCTGGGTCTGAGCAGGTCTGACTCATTGCAACTCATCAGAGCAACTGGGGTTCCAGGTTGGGCAGGCTGGAGCTGCTGTGCTGCTTCTTGTGTCTGCTTCCTTCTTCTGCTGCATCCCTGGTCCCCCAGAGAGCTGCTGGGCAGGTGATGAGCTCTGTGGGTCACCTTTCTTAGGTGCTGTCACCGAGATGGCTTCCCGATTCTTTTTGACATCTTCTGTTTCCCAGGATTGGTAAACCAGATGGATTAGCAGCCTGATGGCTGCTGTAGGCTTTTGTCCTTTTCCATTGTGTTAATCCTGCTCTCAGACATTCAAAAGACTTGGAACAATAAATAATACTTTACTTTGCTGGGGTAAAGATGTGATTTCAGCTCTTAGGACAACTGTCATTTGCTGAGGTATGAATGCAGCAAATCAGCATCTTCAGACAAAACTTTTGCAGTGTCTGGAGAGGATTTCCTGGTGATTGTATGGCAGAAAGTGGAGTTTGTGATCAGTGCCACTTTTCCTTTTCCCATCATCCCACAGCTGTTGTTTGTTGATGCTTATCTTTAAAAAATAAATTCCATCCTTTTCAGTCACACAAGGGTCCTCTTCCACTCTCATACCCACATGCCTTGTGTCAGTTCTGTCCCCTCAAGGGCTGTTAAGCAGTGCCATGTTTGCAGGTTCTTCAGACCTGGGAGAGGATAGAAACCCAAGCACCAAATGTTTTGCTGGGGGATGGGCTCTGAAGGTTGCACTGGTTCCAGACAGGGAGATCGGGCCAGCCTTCTCCAGCCTGGCAGTCCTGGAGACTCCCAGGGAGGGTTTGTCCAGAGAGAGAATTAGATTAGGGCAGTCCCACTGCATCTTTTGTGTCCCTCTGCACTGCTGTGCTTAGAGACCTCCTGGGTGCTCTGGACTGCCTGGGTTTGTGGGGTGAAAGAGCCATGGGGATACAGTGAGGGGCTGAGCTTGTGCAGTAAAGCTGTGGGGCCAGACACTGCAGAGCTTCTTATGGAGCAGGCAGATTTTCCTCTGGAAACTTCACCAAAGGCATCATCTGTAACAGCTCTTCCTAAAGAGCTCATGGAATGATCAGGCTCTTCCTTGCTTCCCTTTGCCCCAGTCTGTTGCTGGCATTAGCTTTATTCAGTGGAGGCCAAACTACTGCTAAGGAACTTCTTCAGTTTGGGTTTTTTTCCAGATGTATGTTTCTGAAAATTTTCTTTCTTTACTGCTGTGAGAGTTGATTTTGTTCAGTAAATAAATGTTTTCTTGTTTTTAGGTTCAGCAAGGGCCTTTGGGAAGGGTTACCAGGGCACAGTGTTGTTTTGCAGCAGTTGCTTTTCATTTATTTGGAAGTGTGGATGCATTTGGAAGGGTTAGAAGCAAAAAGCTGACATTGCAGGTTGTGTAAACTTCCATGATATGAAGACTTTTAGCTCAAGTTTGACAGAAAGCAAACCCACAGGCATCTAAATGATTCTTGTTTCCTTGTATTACAATAAAGAAATTGCTTTTTCATGTCTGGACAGGTATCCGTTATGGTGAACAGTTAGAGAAAACTTGCTTTTAAACCTTTTAGTTTGATTCAGTTCAAGCCAATTAAATACTATTTCCATTGGACTGAGAAATTCCCACAGGTTGGTTGTTTCCCCTTTCCTGCTGGCTCACAGTTGGCATGGGGAATGTCTTGTTGGCAGGGGTAAAGGCAGTTGTCAGAAAATTTGATTAATAACTTCTCTCCTTAGGACTGAGGTGGGTTCTTGGCGTGAGTAGTTTTGTGTTCTTCAAGGCCTTGTGTGTAGCAAAAACATCAGCTTTCAAAAATCCTTTTTTACCAACTACCCTTGTTTTGTCTACATCTCTCTATGTGCAATGGTATTTGTTATCTTACACTTGCATCTCAGCAAAGGTGCACTTATAGCATGGATGGGCTCGGTGGTGCTGCATAATTATATTGCCTGTGAAGTCAAAAGGAATTAATTTGGTTGTGTTTCCCCCCCCAAAAGGAGCTGCTGGTGCTGAGCCCAGGTAAAGCAGCTGACCTGGCAGCCATTCACTTCAGCGAGCAGCTCGAGAGCATCATCTCCAACCTGCAGGTGAAGTGTCAAACTCCATTAGTTTGGGCCTTCTGTACAGTAGGGATGCCATTCCTGTAGGAAATGATTGCTAAGAGTCATGTTGAGTTATGGCTGTGTCAGAAAGAGAAGTAAAATAGGCTATAGCTACTCACTGATAGAAGTTGCTACATCTCAATTATTTGGCCTATTTGTAGAGTTCTGGCCATAAAAATGTATAAGCTCAGAGCTGCTGGTTGCAGCTTTTAGTTGGGGTTCAGTATGGCTTGGAGTCCCAGAGCAGAGCTGTTGTCAGCTGTTGACATGCCTAAAGCAGCTCCTTCAGCAGGCAGCAGCTGGGACCTGTGTTTTCTTCAGTGGATATAGTTCAAGGATTACTGTTGTACAGTAATTTATTTAAAATAACAATACTGTGTCTCCTCCTGTTGTACAGGACCAGTTCTTGCTCTTCCAGTTCCTGAGGAGTCTCCTTGATCCAAGGTATGTAGAAAGTTGACTGTTTACAAACTGCAGTGTGAAGACATGGGTTCATATCAGTTCTTCAAACCAGTGCATCAGTAGCCAGCCTATGGCCGAGGTCTGGCTTAGGACAGGTGACCTGCTCCTCAGGGTGCCCCAAGCTGAGGAGAACAGCCAAAAGAAGCATTGTGGGGGGCATCCTTCAGGGGAGTCCCTGCCAGCTCCCTGCCTGGGAGGTGCTGTGGGCTCTAGTGCATGGAATGTGCAGCCTCTGGCATGTAGTGGGGAGCTTGGGCACTGCTGCTCCAGCTGCTCCAGAGGGCTGTGGAATGGTTACCCTGGGGCTGGAGCACTCATTTCTCTTCTCATCAATGGCATCTTCTCTTCCTAGCCCCCTGCTTTGGTTACTTGATTGAGGTGCCCGGTTTAACATAAACAGAAGAGCATTTTGGTCAGCTGACATTTTTAATTTCTCTCTTGTTTCAGAACTGCTGCCATATTTCACTGCAAGCTCCTCTTTTTAATTACTTGCTTGCCCCATCTATGCCTGTTCTTTCAGTGCTTCAGCACTGAGGGTTCTCTTTCCGTTAAATCGGTATCAAATGCTACAAGACATTTATATATGCACAGCTCCACTTGCTTTCAAGCAATTGTTAATGCAGCTGAGGGAAGAGATCTTGGTTTGTCAATTAATTACAAATTAATTGTACTTAATGAATAAGGGGAGTAGGAAAGGGCAATATTATCTAAATCCAAGTGTCAATGTTTCAGTTTTTGTTGACATGGAATAAAAAGCATGCTTTGGAAGCTAGAACCTGGAAATAATCAATCACTTCTTAGATTTTGTTAGTGTGTATATGAATGGAAAAAACCAACCAAGCCAAACCCCCAAACATACATTTTGTTTTTTCCTGAGTTTTACAGACATCTTTGTGTGGAAGATGTTAATTTCCACGTCTCCTGTTTTCTCCAGGATCAAAACAAAATAAAAAAATACCTTAGTTGGGTTTTATAGGAAAGAAATCAGATTATTAATTAATCAATGATTAATTGGAAAAAAAAAGTAGTTAAGCAGAAATGAAACCCAGCTGGATGTTAAATAGGACTTTATTTATGCTGTGGTATTACTTGCACCCAGTGAAGGTAGTAATTAACCTGGATTCTAATCTTCTGCACACAGTGCCTCCCATAATCTCTGAGTAATAAACATCTAATTTCACTCTACCATAATTAGAGCTAAATAGACCCATTTCTTCTGTAGTTACCTTCTGATCACAGGCAACACGTGATGTGTTCAAACCAGCAATGGGAAACAACGTTGTGCATCTGATCTCCCCACAGCTCTCAGCTTTTCCCTCAAGGATGCTGTTCCACATAGTGCACTAGGCCACGTGGCTTTTTCTTAATAACACTCAGATCCTGAGGTCTGTTCTCAGGAAAAAACAACTGTGAAGTTGTTTTCTTCTAAGACCTATTGAAAGGAGCTGAACTGTATCCTGCGAGAGGCAGGGAAGGAGGTGAAATCTTGCTCTGTAGATCTAACTGCAGATGCACCTACACTTTGTAGTATAGTTATACATAAAATAGTGATTAGGCTCTTCTGCAACATCTTTTTCTTTTCATCCAATCTAAATGTTTATGTGTTTTTGTGAAGCAAAATTTTTGTTGAAATAAAGATTCTTAGAGCAGTAAATGAGCTTTTTAAGTCTCAAATACAAATGATAGCTTGATCATATGGGGACAAGACTCATCATGCTGGTCTAACTATCCGAGTTGGTGGAATTGCATTAGGGATTAATTTGGCCCATTTAATTTAGCTAGAGATTTATTTTTAAGGAGGTGGAAGGGGGAAGGGAGGAAACAGGGTTAACAGGAATTGCCTGGGGAAATTAAAACCAAATGTCTGAATGTTTGTAGCATAAAGCAGCCCCAGGAAACAGAGAATGTAGTAGGGATTGCTCAGCTCATTAATCACAGTCTTTGCTACATTTCATTTTAAACTCTGGAGTTTGTTGGGTTTTTTATAGAGGAAAATAGTGAAGCATTGTCTGTTGGCATTTGTGCTTATGTATTATACCAACAATATTAACTTATTTAGCAACGCAGTGTTCTGGGTTTATAAATGTAGTAACAGACTCCTAAACCATGAGTGTTTGTCCCAAGGGCTGTCCTTTGTGTCCAGCTGCCTGAGACACTTGCAGGGCTCCCTTGTGCCAGGTTTTGTGAGAAACCAGTGCTTCTCTCTTGCTTTTTGGAAAGAGTATGGCAGGGGAGACATTGGATATGGTTATATTGGAGTGAAAAGGATCCCATGTAGCTGAAGAGGGCCTGCAAGTCTCAGGATTGTCAGTTAGTTTTAGAAATTAGCAAAATCCAGCTTTCTTTCCATTGTCTATTCTCTACATTTCTTGATGAAATAAATTGCTGAGAGAAGTGTCTGAGCTTGCTCGTGAGCTCATGAATACTTGGTGCCAGAGTTATTTCCAGACTTAAGTTTGTTCTCATGCTATAGGTGCCCGACTTGCCATTTTTCCTATCTTGGCAGACAAGATCATTTTAGATAGTGTTTTATTTTAGTCTACCCATAGAAAGAGGACAGCACTCACTCTCTTGCAGGCACTGGTGGAGTTTACAGGGTGTTTGTTGTGGGAGGAGTGGATGGTGAATGCAGAATTGAGGGTTCATGTTTGGTCCTTCAAGGTCCACTCTTTGCAGTCAGAACAAAAGAGTTTGGGCACAGTTTTTGTGAAGTTGTGCTCGTACTTTGCACCCTGTGATCAGTGCATGGGTGGGCTTTTGTTTCTGGGCATGTTGCATTTATCATCATTGTAATCACAGTAAGCTGCTCTCTTGGCTTGCTCAAGCCACAGCATTCTCCTGGCCTTTCTTGGATGGTAATATGCCTTTTGTAACTCCCAGGAAATAGAGGGTACTGGATATCAGACTTTCTCCATCCCATGGCTATAGGATTTGCACACTAACAGATCTTGTCTCCTGCTTAGGAATTTGTGTTCAGAAAGGCAATAAAACTCAATATACACACCCTGATCTATTTTCTTTCCTAGAAGGAGCTTCAGCAGAAACCCTTGTTTTTAGCCAGGATAAACTTTCACTGTTTCTTTGTGCAATGCCCCAGTCCCAGAACTGCCATGGGAAGTGTAACATGCAGTAGCAGAGAGCTGCTGTTCATTTAAGGGTTGCAGGTGCTGTGTCTAGCTCCAGGAAAGCATCATCCTTTCCCTCCTCACTCTGAAGTCTCCTTCACGTTGCTCTTTTTAAAACCAAGATCAGTAGGAAACTGTCACGACAAAGGGACACGGGCACTGCTCACAATTCTGTTCTCTCTTCTGTTTCTGCACATGAGGAGTTTGCTTAATAATGAGTCCATGGATTGGAAAATGGGGATATTTCTCTAAAAGAAGTACGAGTTCCTTTCTCAGTGAGGTAGATCAAAGGGATGAAACATTAAAATGTGTTAAAGGAAGTCAAAGAAGAATTTCAGGAGCAATAAACAAAAGCAACACATGCAGAGCAGGTCTGTAGGACATACATAATCAGGGTCTGACCAGAGCACTCAGACCATAAGGTTTCATTGAGGAAATGAGGCTAATTCTTTGTGCCTCTTTGCCATGGAGTTGCTTGAGATGGGTCTGTGCTGGTCTCTTTCTTCACAGGGGTCTTTGAGAATTTAATTTGTACTGAGGCATCAGGAGGATATGTTATGGAACAAATGAAATGGCTGCTGAGAGACCTCCAGCACCAGTAACTAGTAGAAGTAGCATAATTTTCCTCTTAAAACCAGATTTTTTAACTTCAGTATTAAAGATTAAAGACAACGCACAATTGAATAAGAAACTCTTCTTCCCACCCAAATTTCTGGGCTAGAATTTGATTTTAGTCTCTTGTGCCTTTTATTCCAGAGAAGGCATTAACCAAGACCTGCTACATCTCTCACCCTGTATCACTGAGCAGTTCATCGAGCTGCTCTGTCAGTACAGCCCAGACCAAGTTTTGGAGACGCTCAAAGTTCTGGAATACTGCAGACTGGAGGAAACCATCCAGGTAGGAAAGAGATGTATGATCTCAGGGGCCATGGGGTGCATTCACATCAGCTCCTACCCCTTTAAAGTGCTGTACAGACACTTTACCTTAGGCTTGGATTAATGCCTGGATGCTCTTCCAGTCTGTTTCTAGCACTCTGTCCCTCTGAGCTGCTAAACTGCTCTTCTGCAGCACAGGTGGATATATTTAAAATAGACTAACACTGAGCTGGGTTTCAGGGCTAATAAGAAAGGGCTGTTAGTGCTCTGAAGCTGCTGAGAAACTGCAGAGTAGAGGGTGGCTGTGTTGCTGCTAATTAATCATGTTGGGAGTATATAAAATCACGGGCCTGGGGTTTTTGGAAAACAGCGCTGCCAAAATCTGCCTTGTGCTGGGAGAGCAACTATTCCTTCTCTGTATGGAAATTGTACCAGTAATTTTTGAGTGCTGGTGGTGGCAATAGTGCATGCTGAGAAACAAAAGGAGATGCAGGAGAACTGCTCAGGCTGGGTAAAGTGCCTGTGAGCACAGGCTCCAGCCCTGGCCAGTTGCTTGGCATTGTCTTGTGGATAAACAAACACTGGCAGCTTTCTTCAGACACACGTTTACCTTTTTTTCCTTTCAACTCAGATAACCCAAAAACATCAGCTCCATGAGGCTTCTTCGTATTTACTAGAGAAGAAGGGAGATATCCATGGTGCCTTTTTGGTTATGCTTGAGGTACAGTACTCCTAAATCCTGAATGTGGCATTGTTGCCATGCCATCAGCATGCTGACCTGTGCTCAGTTTGGATGTTGTCCTTGTTCCTCCACTAGAATCCACAGAATTTGCCTCCTGTCAAATACCAATAAATTGAGGTGCCTGCATACTCAGAACATGAGTATATTTTTCTGACAAATCTTCAAACATCTAGAAGATACTAGATGCTGAAATTTGTTTCTCATAGCCAAAAATTATCTTTCAGCTCCTGCTTTCCTTTCCATATTTGCCATGTTAGTTGTGCTGGGGAGGAAAATGGGGGTGAACCTGTGTAACCACACCTTTGAAAAACATTTCTGTCAGGATTCTTGGGATTAAACTCCTAAGTTCTGTGTCCTCTTTTGTTTCAGCGATTGCAGAGCAAGTTGCTGGTGCTTATTCAAGATGGTGAAAGTAAGACTGAGTTAAATTCCATTTTCTATTAAAAACAGACAGATCAACACAAAATGTGAAGTGTCTGACACCTGGTATAATGAGATGGTTTCAGGTTTCTAGCCATTTGTTTCAGGATTCTAGGCATTGTAGTGACGCTGTGTTCATATGGCAGCTACTTGGATGACACTCCCTAACTCTGGTGTTCTGATCTTGGTAGAGACCTCGAACACTGTGAGGAATGGTTTGTGTGTGTGGCTAGCTGCCCTGGCAGCTTTTCCCATTGGGACTGGTCCTCTCACTGGCTTACCAAACACATTTCCCATGTCAGAATCCATTCAAACTCATTACTGAGCTTCAGCTGGTGTTATATGGGAACAGTGATGGGAGACAGCTGGGAGTAGCTTTTTCAAAAGCAAATTTCTCAGATATATAAATAAGAATGTTCTGCCCACAGAAAATGAGTGTATGCACAGATGTGCTGTTCACTAGCCCAAGGACTCATGGGCACCTAATTAAATGCAGTGCCCATAGTTGTTACTTAATTGTATCCTAAACCATAACTAAGATCTTCCTTATTTGATTAAATTAAATGTTTTACTTGCCCAATTTATTGTGCTATTTAGGAGAAGTGCCAAAAATCAGAACTTGTCTTTATAATGTAGTTGCTGACAGTACTGAGCAGACTTTAGATGAACAGCATGATTTTATTTTGCAGAAGGATCGATAGTTAACTTTTCTAATGGGAGTTAACTTGTCTAATAGTTTTTATGATGGTAATTTCCTTTTTCCCCCCTCTGACACTTAGGCTCATCTGAACCCTCCTTGCTAGAAAATATTGAAGATACTTTAATGAAAACAATTGCTCTTTGCCAGAGGAATTCACACAGTTTAGACCAGCAACAGCGAGAGGTAAGGTAGTCAAAAATGTGTCGCCAGAATCAACCAAGGCTTCTGTGTCTCCTGAGGCTTTGCCTCATGTGGCTCTTGCTCTCCACATCCATTGGGTACTGGTATGTCCTGGCAGTCACTGTGTGCCTCTTCTTGTGGTCTCCCGTGGTGCTTCAGGGTTTGGAGCCATAGAGTGAAATCCTCTCTCATGAGGGTGAAGCACAAAGCAAAGTCCAGGTCAGAGGGAGGAAGGGATGAGACCATGGCCTTCCCCCTTTCCAGCTCCAGATGGAAGTTGGGCACAAATGTCAGTCAGACACTGCAGAGGCACTGTGAGCTCTGAGCCAGCTTCCTGTGGCACAAAGCTGCTGCTGCTGTCACTGTGGCTGCAGAGCTGTTCACAGCCCCTGAATTGAGTGTCACCCTGGGCTCTGAGGGGGGAGGCAATGCAGCTGCCTTGAGCTCTTGCAGAAGGAGCTGGCTTTGCCTGTCCCCTCGGACTGAGGGGAAGTGTTTCCATTTTGCCCATGTCAGTGACACAAAGGCATCTAAGATTCTGCATAGCTTTTATGATTTCTGAATTCAGAACAGCGAATGTTCATCCCATGCCTGAAGAGGTGGCATGGCTGGAAGTCAAGAGCTCTAATTTCTTCACAAGCACTGCCCAGTGTGAGAGCTGACCTGCTCCATTTCTTCCCTGCAATGGTGTCATTCTGCAACAGATAGGAAGAGAATTTAGAAGTCTCTTTCCATTTGGGATCCATTTACTGTCCTACCCTATGAGCTATCTCTACCCTGGAGAGTTTGCCTCTCACATGGGGAAGTAGTTGGGGACTGAATGAAGCAAACATACATTGTTGTCACAATTGCGGTAAAGTGCTTTGCTCTGAGGTTACTTTGCCATGTTTCAGCTCTGTCCCACAGCAGTCATAAAAAATGCAGTTCTGTTCTCAGACTGTGGAACTGAGTCTTGGCTGGTGGCCTCTGACATTGCTCACAGCTCATTTTTAGCACTGCCCTGTTCTTACTGGTTCTTTCCTCACATTCCATGATTCCAGGCCCTCTGGTTTCCCCTGCTTGAGGCCATGATGTCCCCACAGAAATCCTCTGGTTCGTCGCAGTGTCCACACTCTGAATGTGAGTACTTTGACATTTGTGACCCAAATAGTAAAAGCTGTGTGCTGCCTCTTCTCTGGTGAAGGAGTATAAGAGAAGTTGTTTCATTACTCCATTCCTAAATATTCTTCTCCCTGACTGGCAGGAGCTTGGGTTGGGTGTCTGGTAGGCTGCAGCTATCAGGTGGATAGGGTTTTTTTCATTTGCTTTGTTTTGTTCTGTGTGGAAGAAGAAGCCTACCACAGCCTGTGCTAATAAGTTGGTTGCAGTGAGGATGGTCCCTGAAGGAGCCACAATGTGTACAAAGGCTCTGTGGGTTGTAGTCAGCACTTGGGGAACTCCTGAGGTAATACTCTGTCATTGTGCATGCCCAGCCCTTTTGTGCACTTCTGCCTGCACCTGTCTGCCATATATAAATTTATTGGGACTTGAATATATCAGCTAAATTCTCTACTCCACTTCTGAGTCAGTAGCACACCTTGAACAGCAACCTCCCTTTGTGGGAGAGATAAGAGTAGCTAAAAAGGGGCTTAGATGCTTTGGTCTTGACACTCCCCAGCAGGGAAGAATGTGGAGCTGCTGGAACGAGCATGGAGGAGGCACCAAGGTGATCAGAGGGATGGAGCAGTTCTGCTGTGAGGAAAGGCTGAGGGAACTGGGTTAGATGGGATTTTGGAAAGTAATTTGTCTCTGTGAGGAAGGTGAGGTCCTGGCACAGGTTGCCCAGAGCAGCTGTGGTTGCCCCATCCTTGGAAGTGTCCAAGGCCAGGTTGGATGGGACTTGGAGCAACCTGAGGTAGTGGAAGGTGTCCCTGCCTGTGGCAGGGGATAGGACTGGATGAGCTTTAAGGTCCTTTCCAACCCAAACTACTCTGGGATTCTGTGAATAATGTCTTTTGCTCCATCCCAGACCCATGCTGGGAAGATTTAGGATCTAGGAACAAGTTTCATGCAAAGGTCAATGCTGGGAAGTTTTAGAGTCTGTGGGCTGTAACACAGACAAGGATCCAAAGTGGGATTTGGTAGCAATAGGAGAAGTGAATGGTGGCATTACCATGTAAGTGAAAATGCAGGGGGTGTGGAAGGGAATACAGAGGTATTGTGGGATCAAAACCTTGTAAACACCCTTTATGCTGCAAAAAGCTGTGTTCTTAGTGCAGTACGTGCAGGAGAAAAAAATATAAAAGCTATTTTCAAACCAGAAACCATGATCTGAAATAAAACTCAATCTGTAAGACTGATCTCTCTTTACTCCTGGAATCCTAATGAACTGCTGTGGCTGTTGTTTGACATTCCAGCTTTGAAGAGTTTGACAATGCAAGTGCTAAACAACATGGCTGCGTTTATTGCTCTTCCCTCAATCCTGCAGAGGATTCTCCAGGTGAGTTCCTGAAGGGAAGGAGGTTTCACCAAGCTGTGCCACTGGCTTATTGGGAGAAGGTATTCCCAGGTTGTTGGAGATGAGATCAGCTAATTGTCTGTTCAGTGTTTCAGTAAAAGTTCTGTTGGTGAAGCATAAGGTGTAAAAGCTGATAGAGTTACCTGGGGGGACATGTGGGAACACACAGACCTGTGAGAAGGTAGTTGAACTAATTCCTGCAAACCAAATTAAATAGTACTTCTGAGGTTGCAGTTACTTGGAAATGAAACTTGGCAGGTTCAAGGGCAAAGCCACAATGAATTTACCAAAACTTGGCACTTAATTTGATGAAAGCCTTTTAGTGAAGGCTCTGGGATGGACAGTTGTGAAGACACTACAGCAAAGTGTATAGGCTTTGCAGAAAGATCATGATTGGGCCCAAAATGTTATTGATGGTGCAGTATTATTTTAGAGATGCAGTTAATGAGTAGCAAACTTGCAGAAGAGCTGATCTTAAGCAGGACCTTGGGTTGAGTGATCACAGGCAACTATAAATTGTTAATTTGCAAAACAGATGAAAGCTGACATTGGGATTTAATAACAAACCTTGAAAAATGCAGAAAAGGAATTAGAAAAATTGTCTGTGTTGTGGAGTGGAATGGTTGAAGGATTGAGACACTGTTCAGCGTTTCTGTTCCAAGTGAGAGAGGAAAATGGCTTACAGCTTCACAGGGTAAACACACACCTCTAACAAACTCTTGGTTTGATATTAATATTGCACACAGTCTTGGATTTTGAACAAACTCCTAAAATAGCAAAGCGTGTTGCAAGAGAGTGAATAAAAAATGTGTTCAAATGAAATGTGGTTTCATCAAAGGAAGTGTCGAGGAAGCCTAATGGCTCTTCAATAACTTATTTAGTCTACTTTTAGCTGAGGTTTTGGTATAATTTCCTGTTGGGCTTTGTTTAATGTTTAATGTAGGCAGGAAAGGATGGAGAAGCTGTGAGTGAATGGGAGGCTGCCAGGGAAGGGAGGCTTCCCTGGGTTGTGCTGAGGACTGCCAAGATGGGATGGGAGTTAAAGCAGTGACCACACTGATAACACAGCTGGGAGGTGTGACAGTGAGGAGGAAGATCCTGTTCTCCTTTGGGATGAGGGGAGAGTCTTGTTGATGGCAGTCTTCACATATTTCATTCTATTTCTGTTCTGATGGACTCTTCTAGCAGCAGTAGAAAATCCCTTCTCCAGGGGCTGGCACTGATGTCCTGGAGGTAGCAGGGGAGTGAAATGTTTTGTCTGTTGTAGAGGGAAGTGGTTGGTGTGATGGCTCTGCTGGGGAGGCTGAGGGGATGCTTCATCAGGTGAAGTGCTTTACTGAGAAATGGGTCAGGCATCACTGAGAGCAGCATGTGCAGCTCTGGTCACTGGGTTTGGAGGCAGGGGGGAACTGCTCCTGCTCATTCCACCTCCCTGGACAGCCTGACAAATTCAGTCTGACTAAAGAGAGATTTGGAAAGGCAGATTTTTTGAACAACTAGAGCAAAAAAATGACGACTTCTTAAAATGCAGAGAAAATGACTGAATTCCAGGTAAAGTATCAGAAGTTCATAAAATGGGGCAGTAATTGGTACCTTGTAGCTGAAAACCAGGTGTAGGAAAAATAAAATCATAAAAACAATAGAAGATCCTATGGAAGGGGAGGTGGTGTTGATATAAGGGATCTCTAAGTTGACTTTGCCTCTTAACACTTACTCTTCTGTGGATTTCACTCACACCCATGTATTTGCAAACGCCTGAGGTGTGTGGAGTGATGTGACCTGGCTTGTTTGTGGGCAGCAGAGAGGCTGTGAGATCCTCACTGCATCCTGGGGATCCTCTGACAGATGCCAGCAGCTCAGCTGTGTCCTTCAGAAATTGCTGGCTGGTTTCACCTCTGAAGATTTTCACCTCTGAAGCTCACTTAAACCTCTCCCAAGTTCTTATCCTCCTCATTAGGAGATGGGCTCTTCTGAGGGCTTGCCTGTGCTGAGTCTCACCAGTCTGCTGCCTTCAGTGCCTGGCACCTCCTGTGGGGACAGTGTCCTTTGTTACAAGACAAACCCTTCACTGAACCCTGTGCTCTTGTCCTTAACCCCCACATTTCCATTCACTCTGCCTTACCACCAACCCTTATTCCTGGGTTCCTGGCACTGCCCTGCACCAGCTCACTGCTGCCTGTGGGTTTGTGGCAGTATTTTGTTAAACTTTTGCTCAGGGGTTTGCAGAGGGTGCCTGTGGGAAGTTTCTGTGAAGTTTATTTGGATGCACAGCTTGGCCCTGGGGAGAGCATTGCTTGGAATCCAGCTGGGAAGCTGGTGTTGGGAGGGTAATGAGCAGGTCTTACTCTGTGGCCTTATCATGGGTGCTGAGCTCAAATGTTCAGGCATTCTGAACCCTGGCCCTGCTGGGGATTAGGAAGAAAACTCCCTTGGAGCTAGGCAGCAGAGAGCACTGGAGTTTTTGCCTTCCAGTCATCTGCTTCCTTGGGTTATCTGGGAATGCCATTTAAGTGCCCTGAAGGGAAGAATCACAACATGGCAGGCACAGCTGGTGCTTTCCCAGAAAGGAAGATCCCTGTGCTGTTAGCCCTGGCTGGGTGTTCCTTTTGCAGAACTGTGTAGTTCCTCTTTGAAGCCATGCAAAATTCTAAACCCTGTTGCCAAGCCCTTCTGTCTTGGCTCTGAGCTCTGTGCAAGGCACTTAGGTGTGTTACTGATGTGCCACCTTAACTGTGACCACAAGGAAATACTGAAACCAGCCTTTCTGGGCTCTGGAGTGCATGCAGCCTTTCCCAAGCCCTCCAGATATTTTGGTGAAATGCAGAATTACAAGTGGTGCTTGTCTGACAGGGCTCTCAAATGCTGTTTCAGCAGAGCTCAAAGTTTATGATAGAGCATATATGTGCTGGAGCTGCAGGCTGGGAGGTGGCACAGCTGCCCAGGAATTCACTGGGGGTTTTGTTGGAAGGTGGATAACATCAGTGAACTGAGGTAGATTATCTTGCCCTCTGAAAAGGAATTAGAGTATTCCAATTTTAGCAGACTGTTTTTCTTCCTTTTCTGAGCTTAACTGTTTAGAGATTATACCTTATGCAAATGTCAGCTTTGCAACCAAAGTGTTTGGCCAAAGGGCACCTTACAGGGGCTGGGGCAGACCTGCAGCTTCCCAGAGAAGTCACAGACTTCTGGCACCTGCCTGTCCCAGCACCTGGGCTCAGTGTTACCTAACTGAAGTCACATGAAATAACAGTTGATAGATTTGCTCCTGCTCATCCTTTATAGTGTTGGGGAGGGATTTATTAACTGGGAAGTCTGAACTAAATGCATTAGGAGAGATACCAGAGGAATCCTCTTGAGCATTAAGAAAAATTCCATGTTATTAAGGATGTGAGTGTTCTCTGAAGAGGGCTGAGAGGTTGAGTGTTAATTCCCTTACAAAGCTGTAATCCTTCATGAGTGTTTTGTAAGCAGATGCAGCTGATGCCTCCTACAAAATGGAGAACTGGAGAAGCCAGATATGTAAAAGCTACCAGCAGGGACCCCAAAGAGGGAAGGGAATGATTCTCTAAAAACTGCTCCAGAGTGGAAGCAGAAGGATTCAGAAAACTTCTCCTTATATTTTTTCCACTCCTGCTTAGGGCTTTGGCTGTTTTTTCTTCCTAGTTTGAGAGATCAGCACTGGGATTAGCTGTGTGTGGACTGGTTCTCTGGCCCCTTGCAGAGGGGAGAAGCTGAAGTGAATGTGTTTGCAGAGTGCATTAATTAGCACTGGTAGCAAAGCAAGTGCTATCTCCTGGACCCAGGAAGAAATGGAAGAGAGAGAGGTGGCTGAAAGGGCTGAATGAGCACCTCTGGGCTGTCTGTGGATCCCTGCCAGCTCTTCCCATCTGTTTGTTGGTGGCAGCCCAGGGCAGCCCGTTTGGCTCTGGCTCCTTGTGCTGATGCCATGCAGGCTGCTGGGATCTGTTCCACTGCAGGGGATGGCACATCCATGTCTGGAGTATGCCAGAATTCCAACCCAAGACCAATTTTATAAGGGGGAATTAATGAAAGATATTCCTCCATAAAACTAATGGATCCCACAAGGCTTTTGTGGCTGGAAGATCTGTGGGGTCTGAAGCTGCAATTTAGAAGCTTTGTAAGTGTCTGGAGAAGTGACCTGGGAGCTGTGGGTGTGATGCTGGAGGCAGGCAGGCAGCTCCAGCCCATCCCATCCAATGGCTCCAGCAGGGAATGGCCATGGGGCTGCCAGGCTCAGGGTGAGGCTTGGCCAGACCATGGGCCTCCTCTGGGAGGAAGTAAGTCCATTTTCTTCCCAGTTGCCGTTATTTTTAAAGATCATCAAGCATGACTTGAGGAAAAGACAGCAACAGAAAGCCCTCAGACTTGTGTTCTCCCTCTGCAAAGCTGCAGATGGGTCTTTATTCTTCCCTCTTCTTCACATCTCTTCTGCTCTGTGTCCAGACAGGAAACCAGTGGCTTTGAAAAGCTCCACTTGTAGCTTAGGAAGTTTGAGGTGCTATATGGAAATTGTGGGATTTGGACAGTTTGTGAGACACCTGTTGGCAGTGTACTTGAGGGCTTTAGAAGAGGAGCTGCTGGCTGCCTGCCTACCTGCTCTGTGCTCCGGATCACATTCCTGCTCTCTGGAAGTCCTTTTGCCTCCATAATCCCTGCAGTGCAATGCACTTCCTGTGCTGTGCTGTTCACCCAACAGAAAAAGAGCCTGTGCAGCACATCCAGCTCTTCATGCTTCCTCCACATGCTCCAAATCCACAGCTGGTTTTGACTCAGTGTTGTTACTGAGGGCTGCTTTTATTTAGGTTTGAATATTGGTGGTTTTGCCTGTCATGCTGCCCATGAGGGTTGTTGTTCAGGAGTTCCTTGACTTATTTGCTGTTCTGTCTTGCACCCCTCAGGGTCTTGTAGTGTAGCTTCCATGCTGCTTTAGTTGTCTTTGTCACTCTCAATTCTTCTTGCCCAGTCCCAGCATGGAATCAACCTTGCTCCTACTTCTTCTCTCATTCTTCTTATCCAGAGCTTGTTTATCCCACTTCTGTTCCTGTTTCCATTGTGTCCCCACCATTTTTCTGTGCTCTGGGTTAGTTTCATTTTCACATCTTGCTGATCTGTTTTTGCTAATGGCCTGCCCCTTCTACCAGGCAGCTTTCTCAGCTTCCTGCACAGAGTGATGCTTCAGGGGGTGCCAGGGTGGGTGTGCAGGGCTGTTAGGGCTGGAGCAGGTGGGAGAAAGGGGGAGATGCCCAGAATGATGACCTGTACCACAGCCCTGTGCTTGTGCTTCTGGGACATAGCAATAAAGCTGTTCAGGGCACGTGGAAATCACCTCTGCAGCACCAGGAGAGCCCCAGGGCCCTGTTCCTCTGCCAGCTGGGCTGTGGGCTCAGCAGTGACTGGGGTGTGCTCTTCCAGCCTGCACATGCAGAGGGGTCTGGGGTGAGTCTGGGGATGAGGCACTCCAGGCTGGGCAAGAGCACAGGGCAGTGCGGGAAGAGAGCTGGCTGGCCATGCTGTTCCCTTCAATATTCCTCAAATGTACTCTCCAGTCAGCTCCCGCAGCTCCTGAGTGGAGTTTCCTGTTTTGACCTAGGCACACTAATTTATAGTCATGTTGTTAGCTACTGAGTTTTGCTAATTACTGATTTTTCCCATCAGTGTGTGGGATTAGTCTGCTGTCCCTGTGTAAGTGCAGCATATTTAACTCTGCAGTTGTAGCTTCCACTTGCAGTTCCAATCCAGAGGGAAAAAAAAGACCTAAAAAGAATCAGAATGGTCATATCCTGTGATTCAACTGCAGCTTTGCATTTCTTCATACAGGATCCAGTTTATGGAAAAGGGAAACTTGGAGAAATTCAAGGGCTTGTCCTGGGAATGCTGGACACTTTTAACTATGAACAAGTAAGTTGCCTGTGTTTCTGTTCTGTCCACCACTGCATGCAGCATCATTTTAGCTGCCTGGCCTACTGCTCTTTCTCTCTCTTATTTGTCATTTCTGTCTGCAGGGCAAAGTCAGTGGGCATGTGAACGATTTCAGTGTGATTGGGGATGGGGAGGGAGTTTGGTTTGCTCACAGATTGTGAGTGAAGGGACTGACAGGTACATGGTGAACACCTCAGCAGCTCAGTTCTGTGTTAAATGTACCAGAAGGATAAACATCTGCTTTTTCTCCAGCTCATCCTGCAGTAAGGGATTCAAAGGCACAAAGCTGATATGTTCTATCTTTCTGTGCAGTTTTAAATAACAGGTTTTTAAATTAGGCTGTTTTTACACTTCCAAGTGATAATGCTGCACTTCTTTGTGTCCTGGTGAGATCTCCTCTTAATCTCAGTCCTGCTTTTCTCAGCCCAGTCTCACATCCCAGGCAGTCTCCACACTTGAGCAGTTTTCTGAAACTCCTTTTCCCCTAAACAGGATGCACAGTGTTCCTCCGAGCCCCTCTCATCCCTCACGTGGCAGAGCCATCCCAGCTGCTGTTCAGGGCAGGCCCCCAGACAGCAGCAGGCAAAGCAGAAGCACAGTGGGAAAAAGCTTTGCTGTGGAGGCTGAGCACCAGGAGCCTTTTTCTGTGTCTGTGTTCTTGCAGAAGGTCTGGGCATCTCCTGCCCCTGTCCCTGCCTGGCAGCTTTGGGACAGGCTGTGCCCAGGTGGGATCCTGTGGTGCAGCTTTGGCAGCTGCTGCTGTGGAGCACGGATGTGAATCAGGGAGCAGAGCCCCTATGCCTGAGAGAAACTTGGTGCTGGAAACTCAGGGTGGTTCTTTGGGCTCCATGAAAATGAGCATCCATTGGGAAGGACAAGCAGATGAGCAATTCAGGGTTTTTTAAAAAGACTTTAATTGCCATAGTGCATTTGAGCTTTGATTTTTATTAGTACATTTCTCCTAAAATGGGGCTATAACCAGTAGCTTGCCAGGTAGAAGGGGGAAAAAAAAGGACATTTGATGTGGAAGATGACAAAATGAGCCTGCCATGCCTCTGTTAATGCTCTTGGGCAAAAGTCAATACAGAACTTGTCTATTTGAGAGTGCAGAGGAATTGCTCCATTAATGTGTGATGAAAGGATAAGTGTTTTGAGGTCAGGGGAAAGCATAGGAGAAGTGATTTTATTGGGTTGTTTCTGCTCTTAGTGAGCTGCTAAGTGGCTTGTTCTGAAGAACTGGCTGGCAGGGAGCTTCTGCATTCTGGGGGTGACCTATTCTGTGCATTGTCTTCCACACAGACCCTTCTAGAGACAACCACGAGCCTTTTAAACCACGATCTGCACTGGTCCCTGTGTAACCTGAGAGCCTCTGTCACCAGAGGCCTTACTCCAAAGCAGGATTACTGCTGCATCTGTCTCCAGCAGTACAAAAGGAGGCAAGAAACTGCTGATGAAATCATTGTTTTCAGGTAAAGTTAAGGAGTGGGGTTGCAGCTGTGATTGTGTTAATAGTTTTAAAAGGGGAAACAAATTCTACTGGTTGGCTTGCCTGAGTAATGATCTGTATTCCTGTGAGCACATCTCCGTGCTGCCTTGCACTGTGAGAGGGCTGGCTCATCACACCCATCAGAGGCTGCTTTGCATGCAGCCAGCTCTGCCTGCCTGGGAGGAATGGTGTCCCAGTCCCAGGAGCTGGCTGTCAGTTTTCTGTCCCCTCTCCCAGCAGTGTGCTTTGGGCTCTGCAACACCCTGGCCTCATTTGTTTATTTGTACATCTTGGACCTGCCACAGCCCTGGCATCTCCCACGTCCTGTCTGTGCCCAGTGTCTGTAAAATAAGGTGAAATCATTGTTACCTTGGTGTTACAGTCTGTATCTGTATCAGCAAATGGGCATCCAGTGTTGATTCTGTGAGTCTGGAAATCAGCAGGAGGGTGAGGATACACTGCTGATCTGATGCAGCCTTGCCCCCTGGGCAGCCCCTTGCCCTCACGTGCAGAGCCCAGGAGGTGCTGCCCTGCTTCCCAGCACTGCCTTCCTCTCTTCCCAGCTGTGGACACTTGTACCACTCGCTGTGCCTGCTGAGTAAGGAGTGTGGGGTGGTCACCAAGGGCCTCATGAGGTGGATGTGCTACAAATGCAACTCGAGCAACAAGGGAGGGAAGCTGAGTGAGAACTTCTCAGAGCTGAAAAAAGGGACTGCAGCATCCCTGGCACAGGTAAGTTTTGTGAGGTGGTTTCTTGTCGGGTAACTTTCATCATCACTTTGTTCTCTCTGCTTCCAGACAAGACTGATCAGAACCTGTCAAACACTCTCAGCAGCTAATCGGTCACTTTTCTGAATGCCAGTTTATTGTGATGGGAGTACAACTCTGGAAGTCAAAGAAATTTGTTCATCCAGAAGGTCTAGGATGAATGTGTTTGCAGAGTGCATTCATTAGCACTGGTAGCAAAGCAAGTGCTATTTCCTGGACCCAGGAAGAAATGGGAAATGGAAGAGACAGAGGTGGCTGAAAGGGCTGCATGAGCGCCTGTGAGGGGGAGCTGGATGCTTGCAGGTGCTTGTGTGGACAATTCCTGTCCATTTTTTTTTTAAGGTGTGTTTTATATAAAATTTAGATTGAAAGCTGGTACATTCCTTGTGGCTGGATTGTGGAGTTTGTGTTCCACCTTCCTAGCACATAATCTGTCTCTGGATAAAAGACTCTGACTCACTAAGTGCTTGCACAATATTTTAAGAAGCTTGAGTGTAACCAAGATTGATGCAGCTGGATTTGGGTGAGAGAACAGAGAATTAATTTGTATTTATTGTCAGTATTTGTGCACTGAAAATTTCATCATCCCTAATTCAAACTGAAGTACAGCCTCAAATATGCATGGAGCTGTCTTTTTCCTGGGCTGGTGCTGGGGATGGTAAGCCCCCATGGCAGGTGGTTTGTTGGGTTCTCTTAAGGGATGTTGCATATGGGCAGCTCAGCTCTGCTGCTCCATGTTCAGTGGCCCCTGGGTGAGGGTTTTTCCCAAGTGCCTCGGGGTACTTTGTGCATGTCACTGTATGGATGTGCATGGAGCAGCATTCTCACTCCTGGAACCAAAATAATCCAGTCTTGGAGTATGTTTTTATAGTAGTACTTTGGTTTTGTTGGAGCAGATTATTTCAATTCCTGCCAAACTCCTCCTGATCAAAAGCTGGCTAAGGGCCTTAGTCAGCTGCTGTCAGCTGCTGCACTCGCAGGAGAGGCTCCCTGCTTGGAGGAGATGTGGGGAGAGGGAATTTTGCAGCCTGTGTGGAGCACCATGCAGTCTTTGCAGTCAGGCTGTGTTAGTCTTTGATTTGGTGACAGCAGCAAAGCTTTCCCAGGAGCTCGGAAATCGAGTGTGGTCCAACCAGGCTGAGCAGTGTGTGTGTTCCTGTCCTGCCACAGTGGGATGTGGGCACTGCATCTAAGGCTGGGAAAGTTCAGCAGCCCCACACCTCACCCTCTGCACTCCTGCCCCAAAGGAGTGGACATAAATGGGGATGACAGGCTGGGGTGTAGTTTAAAAACTAAAAGCAGAATTAATTACTAAAACTGCATTCAGCATTCAAGTGCCTGACACTTGATTCCAGTGCTTCATAATTGGGTTATCTCTGGCTTTCTCTTGGGCAGTCAGGGAGCCCCAGTGGCTCCCCTTTGACATCAGTCTGACTTACTCTGTAGAGAAAGAAGGGGAAAATGCTTCACATGCCATGGCAGTGATTGGGGTAAGGGGGAGAAGATGCTTATTTTTATTTAACAGATGGAAGTGAAAGGCTGGCTGGGACTTGGGCCTAAACGGAGGTGTGGAGAGACTGGATGGGAAGAAAATTTACAGCATGGATCATGTAGTGCTAGCTGGAAAGTGTCATCCCAGGCCATGCCAGTGCAGGATGGTGCCCTGCTGCTGCCGTCACGTGCTCTTGGCAGGACGTCATGGCTTCCTGCTCCACACAGCCTGGCTCAGAGGAGCCCCTGCACTGCCCAGGCCCCCAGCTCCTCCCCCCTGCATCCCAGCTCCTCTCCAAGTCTGGGATGTTCCTCACATATCCAAATTACAACATTTAACTGTTGTATTTGCATGTGATCAAACTGTTGCGCAGTCATGTCTTAAAAGAGCTGAGTGTATTTAGACTTGGCAATAGACTGGGGAATCTCCAGCTCCTGCAGGAAATTTGTTTGCTGAACAGTCACTGCTCAGTAGCGTTAATTAACCCTGGGAGGTAAGGATTCCTCTGACCTGGCATGGGGCTGAGTTACAGAGCAGAGTTTCTGTGCTGGGGCAATGCTGGAATGCAGCCTGGGGGAGATGGGGCTTCTCTGTGTCCTCTCTTGACTCTGCTGGCCCTGGCCAGACCCAGAGCTCTGGGCTGGACAAGCTGCTCTGGCTCCACAGCTGGTGTTTGTGAGCAGGAAATCCTGAGTGAGGTCCTGCTAACAGCATTGTGTTTCCAGCCCTGGCCTCCTGAGAGTCAGACTGGGGCTCCCAGGCCCTTCTGCACAGAGATCTGTGGGGGGATGTTTCCCTGTAGTCCTTTTGAAGACCCTGAAAGCTTAGTCCCTCTCTTGGCAAAATCTAATACGGTGGTCTTCAGTTGAGGTGTTTATTTTCTTAGGAAGCCTTGAATTAGGAGTAGAGTCATACTGAGAAATGCCACTGAGCATCTGGAGTGCATTTCACAGCACTAATTCTGCCCTGCCCAGGCAAAGGCTGTCAGTTTGAATAGTGCAGTGTGGCTGAGATGTGTATGTGAAACGACAGCCCAACAGACAGTGCATCCTCTGCCCCTGTGCTCTGTGTGTGATGCTGGGGCCATTCCCTGAAACTGGGGAGGTGGAGAGATGCCACAAGCCAGCACTGACCCATCATGGGATCAGTGACAGCATGGATTTAAGTGGAACCTGGCTGGGATGAGGGCTTGGCACGCTCTGCCCCAGCCAAAGGGAGCAGAAAGAGGGGCACAGGGGATTTTCTTTCCTCTGGTTCTACTACCAAAAGTTTGTGCTTTCTGTGTTACCCCTGAGCCTCACTGGCTTCCCAAGGGTAATCCTCTGGGGCTGGACCATCATCTGTCCTGCTCTCCCTGCCGTGGAGCATCCCCTAAATGAGAGCTAAAAGAAATGGGAGCATGTTTTTTTTGGTGGGTCCCTACTGCACTTGCAGGGCTGTATGTTTGTTGTGGTGTTTGTGGGGGATGAGGGCTCAGCAGCTGGGCCACTGCCCGAATACCTGTGGGAAAGGCTCTGGGTATCCCAGCCGCTGGTTCCCAAAACTCATTTGCCTCATTTCAGTGAGGAAATGTTCTTCATTTATTCTGCCAGCTTACACAGTAGGGCTCAGGGAGAGGAAGAGTCTGGGCTCCTGGGCCATAAGCCCTGCCACAAACCCCTGAGCTGCCATGCTCTGGTTATTCCGTGTCCGAGGAGTTCTGAGCATGCTGCTGTTGGAGCTGTCCAGATGGCAGATATGTTTTATTCAGGAGTTTAATCCTGTCAAGTCACGCCAGGATGGACAATGGACTTGATCTATAGTTAATCCAGTTTGTCAGGCTCTGCCTTTGGGCTCTGTTCTGCAATTTTCCCATGTCTCTCCCTATGACAGCCTTCCGGAGCCTCGGAAGGGTTCCCACGTGGGAGGGCTGGTACCACATCCCCCGTGTGACCTGAGAGGTCCCTCTGCACCATGTGCTTTCTCTTGGGCAGTAGTGAAGGTTTAGGATGGTTTTTTTTCACCAAAACTTACTTTAGAGCTTGACAGATGTTACACGACCTCCATCCATCAGGAGACAGAGCCGGTGTTACTGTTTTCAGGGCAACAGTGACCATCAGTTATTAACTTGTCTTCAGCAATACAAAAAACTTCCAAGGGGTTTGTAGCTTTGGAAATATCCAGATGTGATTCCCCCAGTAACACTATAGAGATAACCAGTGTTTTACACAGTTACAAGAATGGACATTCTCTCCTCTATGGTGAATGTTCCTGTGTACAAATTAACTGAGCAAATATCCAGTCCAAATATCCTCCTGGGCTTTGGAGGTGGATTCCTTCACTTCAGCAGTGCACAGGCAATCCGTGTGAGGAAGGAACTGGAGATACAGAACATCCCTGATTGCTTGTAATGGAAACAAAAGTGATCAAAAGTGATCTAGTAAGAAGAATACTGAGTGCAGGTGTCTCCATGAGTGGGTGGGGGAGGACTGGCACCAAAGCTAAAACTGCAAACAATACAAATTGAAAAAGACTGATTTGAAAACCAGAATTATCCTGTAACAGCTTTTAAATCAAAATTGACTGTTTTCTTGAGCTTCTCATGCTAGAGGAGTTGGGTGAGTTTTGTTGTTTTGTGGTTTTTTTTTTTTTTTGAGAAAGATCAGAGTGAGTTGTAATTCTGTCCCCTGGCCTTGCTTTAGAGCAGTCTGCAGCCTGGCAGAAAGCTCCTTGCACTGCCTACAGTCCAAAGTCTGGCACTGTGGGGTCTGTGAGACACTGACAAGGGGCAGGAACAGCTGATCCCAAACTGCCTGGAGCCAGGAGCACTGAGACCAGGATTACCTGGGGAAGGGTCATGCCTGGTTAAGAGCAAAAGTGGGCAATCTCGGCTTGACTTTGCATCTCAATTTCTAAGAAGCTATTTCTACAGTCTGATGAAAATTTCCTCCCTTTTAATAAAGCATTCCAGTCTGGGAGGATGTGTAGAACAGGCTCATTGAAATGCAGTGGCAGCTGCTGGGCTGCAGCAACCTGTGGATATTCCATAAACTGCAGCAGTCTCTGTTGGCAGTGCTTCTGTGAGCTGAGCTGGTGCCCCACAGCCCAGGGTGTGTCCATCAGGATCCAGCACAGCACCAGGGAGGGCAGGAGGTCACTGTGCCTCACAGAGCAGGGACATGTCCCAGGGGAGCTGTTTCTCAGGCTGGGCTGACTCCTGCTGCTGCTTCAAGGGGGATGGCTGTTCCCCTCTGTGATTCCAAGCTGAGAAATAGGCTAAGGGTGCCTCTGACTGCTGACTGATGTTCCTCTGAAAGAGGGGAGTGGCATAAAGGCAAGCCAAGGCTTTGGCTGTTTGTAGTCCCTTGATGGGGAAGGGGTTAGGAGAGGGACTATACCAGTGGTGCTGGCTGTAGCCCAGGGTGCAGGAGCTGTTCTGGATGGTGCCTTTCAGGAAAGCAGGGGAGCATCAGTGTCTGGTAAATCCCATCAGTGGCAAGCTGCAGTTCCCACAACCCTCTCACAGCCTGTGGCACAAGGAGAACAGTGTTGTGTGGTCTGTGTGTGACTTGGGCAGCTGCAGCTGAGCTCCTGGGGCCAGAGCTGGGCTGGGCATGTGCTGAACCTTCTGGATACACAGCAGTGCCAGGCTGCTCCCAGGGGTCAGGAGGATGAAGGGGACAGGAAACAGAGGTGTTCCCATGGGTTTTCTGTAAGGTTTGGGGTCACATTACCTATTAGCCTCTGGCAGGAGAGGTCACTAACCCTTACAACCAAGTAGGATGTCTTCCCTCTTCTGTGTGTCTTTTATGTAGGACTTGAGGGAATGGCTGGAGCTTTGTCAGGGCAGGGTTAGGCTGGATATCAGGAAAAGGTTCTTCCCCAGAGGGTGATGGGGCACTGACCAGGCTCCCCAGGGAATGGGCACAACCCCAAGGCTGCCAGAGCTCCAGGAGCATTCAGACAAGCTTTCAGGCATGGGAGGGATTGTTGGGATGTCTGTGCAGGCCAGGGGTTGGATTTGATGATCCTCATGGGTCCCTCCAACTTTTGGGATATTGTGTGATTACCTTCCCTTTCGCTCCCCAGCTCCTGCCCTTGAGAAAACACTGCACCTCCTCACACTTCTGTGCTTTGCCCTGTGGGATCTGTTCAACAGCCTCTTGGCTTTTCTCTAGAAACATAATTCTCTGCATGGGGCTTCTGAATTCTCAGGTGCAGGTGCTGAGCTCAGCCCAAGCACAGGCCTGTTGAGTGCCACCTTTCACATTTAATCCATGTGCTGCCACGCTTCTCTGAGTGCTGGGTGAGAAATGAACACTGTGTCTGCTGGGCTGTGGTGTCCAGTGGGGATGTGTGGGGGTTGTGTTTGTCTAATTAACTCTGAGCAGTGTTATTGCTCCTTTGGCTGAAGGCATCAGTAGAAGTCCAAGGGAATATCCCAGCAGCACCTGGTGTGGGCAGGAGAAGCTAGCCAGAGCATGGGTGGGGCTGTGCCTGTGTGCTTCCCTGTCTCACACAGACAGTGCCCTCCTCTCCTGTCACTGCAGTCTCATGTGGCTGCAGCAGTGACTCTGGCAGAGCACAAACAGACCTGTGCTCTCCCAGGCCCTGAGTGGGAGGTTTTCTCCTCAAGTTCAGCTGGAAATAAGAGACATCTGCCTTTCCCCTGGTGCTGCTGAGGAGTGAAGGCCAGGGCTGTGTGACAGGCTGCCTGTGCTGGGAGGCTGCTCTGCCCTGGGCAGCTGGGGCTGTTGGTGCCTCTGGCAGGGAGCAGGCAGGACTCACCTGCTGCCAGGCCCTGCGTGCTCCTACGGGTGAGGTTTGGAGGCTCTGGGGCTGTCCCAGGGCAGGGCAGCCCTGCCAGGCTGTTCCCTGCGCAGCGTGGGCGGGTGGTGTTCCTGGCATCTCCCTGGGCAGGGGCTCTGCAGAGCTCAGCAGCAGCAGCAGGACACTGCTGTTCTCAGAGGCTGTCCTCAGGTTTCCCTGAAGTTCCTGAACAGCTCTGTACTGTCACTGTCATTGCAGTGACTTTGGGCCACAGCCTGCCTTGCTCTCTCTTTGGTTCGTCATTCCGGGTTCCTGGGAGTAGCTAAAACCAGCAGGGCCTTATCCAACAGAAGAGAGGCAGATTTACTTAGTTTAACATGATTTGTCTGGGTTTTCACTGTGGGCTCAGCTCTGTAAATGGGAATGTGGGGAGGGTTGCCTTTCTTTAGAATCCCAAACCCTTTCCCAGGACTTCTGGCTGCATCTCCCTGTGTTAAGGGAGCAGTCCCTGGGGCGGTGGGGTGCTCTGAAGCTCTAACTGGTGCAGCAGTATCTTGTGTGGAAGGAATGGCTGAGGGACAGCTCTGGGATGGTCCCTTGGTGTGACTATGGATGGTGCCTTCACTCAGACTGTTGGAATCTGCTTTGCTTAAGCACTGGCTGGCGATGAAATTTGTAGCTGTTAAATTAAAGATAATTGCAAGCTTGGAGGGCTGTGTGGTGACTACCAGAAGGGGTGGAATACGTGCAAGAAAAGCATGCAATAGAGATTAGCATTAGTGGTGGGATCTGGGAGGGCTGGGAAATGAAAAAAGCCTTTTCCCTTCCTCCTGGCTCAGATCCTCAGGAGATGAATTGCCTCTCTGGGGTTCTGTGTCTTGTCTGAGGCCTTTCTGAGGGGGGTGCAAGGCTGTGGCTGGAAACAGGTTGGAGGTGCTGAAGGGTCCATATCAGAGGTGGCCAGCCCTGGAGACAGAGGCTGTGCTCTGGGGTGAGCCCAGCACCTTCCACCGACACCCGAGTGCTGCTGCGGGACCCCGGGAGCCTCCCGTGGCTCCTGAAGGGAAACATGCTTTTAGTGACACGGTAAAAAAGGAAAAGGCCTGACAGCAGTTGTTTCCATGACAACAGAAAGAATTGCCTGCAATATTTCAGCTCATCAGCCTGGGAACAGCCTGATTGATAGTTACGTACATGTGGTAGGGAGAGAGCAGGAGAGGGGAGGCCAGTTATATTGCATTTTCCTGTCCTTGAATGCTTGTGGCCACAGCAACTGTGGAGGACAGTTATTCCTTGCTTTTTCTGTTTTCCAAGTCAGGATGACCTGTGTGCCTCTGGGAAGCACTAGTACAACCTGCTGGCTGTGAGTCCCTGCCCCTCCCTGTCCCAGGCTCCCAGGCTCAAAGCCAGGTGTGCAGGGAATGGGGGCATCTGGCTCCCTGACTGGCAAATAGTTATTTACACTACAGAGAATATCCTGGAGAGGAAGGAGAGAGTTTGGCAAATGTTTCCAGCATAAGTGATCCACACTCAGGACGTGGTTCTCTTCCCAGACTAATGATCAAAGGCAAGATGTGTGTGGGTTTTGGGATGGTGTCAGAACCATTCAGGCTCCAGGAGCCCCGTGGGGGACTCAGTGCATCTCCCCTTGCCAAAGAGCCCAAAATCAATGCAGCTTGTCGGTACCCGCTGGCAGGATTGTAGCATTTTTGGTTAGTAGCCCTTGGGAAATGTATTTTGGAGAAGGTATTTGAATGTTCCCTTAAAAATGGATCCCCAGAGACAACAGATGCCAGCCTGCTGCTCATGAGGGAGGCTGTTCTCCTGGCTCCTCTTGGGGTTTCTTGATGATGCTTTTGCTTTGCAATATGAGCAGAAACATTCAAAATAGAAACACAGTGGTGTGATAAATGGAACAAACCTACAAGAATCTGTGATGCTTTGTCATCTCTCCCTGGGACATGTAAATGGTGCCATTTACAGCAGTTTGAGTGTGTGCCACCCTCTCTGCATTATTGCTCTTGGTGCAGCTCTGGGCCCTCTCTTTGCACTCACCTGCAGCTGCCCCTCACTGCTGGGGGACACTTGGGCTTGTACCCCACAGCTGGGCAGGGCCACGGTCTCGGGACGTGGCTGCCACTGCCATATGACTCACCTTGCCTCCCCTTTCCACCCCTCAGTTCCCAGCTTTCAGTCTGGAACACCCCACTAGAGAACAAGAGATGGGACCTCATAATGCCATTTTAAGGTGCCAATAGTTGTTAATAGTCATTGGCAGAGTCATGGGGTAGCAGGCACACACAGCCCGTGTCCCTCCAGTGTTCCTGTGCCGTGGTGTCAGGCTGGATGGGGCTGGGATATGGGAAAGGGCTGGGGGAAGCTGCTGCTGCTGCCTGGGAAGGAGCCTGGAGAGGCTGCTTGGCCCCAGAGGCCCTTTACTTCTCTTCCCAGCTGGCTGGGATTGAGTTCTCCCATGCCATTTTTCCTTCCTCAGAGGTATCCCAGTACTGTCAGTCTGTGCCATCAGGGACAGAGCCCAGCAATAACTCACTGTGGATGCAGGGGTGTAACTGTCCTTTGGGCAAGAACAGGACTACTTTTTTCCCCCACAAACCTAGGGTGCACGTAGTGGCTGTATGCCAAAGGAAAGATGGCTAAAAAGACCTCCCAAACAGGTTGTGGACTGTCTGCTCCCAGCCCTGGAATTAATTTCTGTGTGTAGGAACTTGACAGCCTGCTCTGCGTGGTTTCTGTAACTTTTTTACTCTTTCTCAGATGAGTTCAGAGTCTGCGTTGGATCCTCAGCAAATCCAAGCTTTTGACCAGCTCTGCCGACTCAACCGAGGCACCTCCCGAGTACGTACCCCCCGTTTTCCTTCTGCTTTCAAACTGCTGATGGGCATTTTTCATGTGGCCAAGCCAGACACTGGCACTGGCAAGCGAGGGCTCTGGCTTTTCTCTGGGGTTTGGTCTAGTGCTGGCACTTGGCTGTGGTACACTGCAAGGCAGCCATGCTGGGGAAGCCACTGGCAGGGAAACCTTGGGAATGCCTCTGGCTTTCTGGCTGGGCCTGAGAAGTGTCCATGGGGTGATCCTTAGTGGATTTGTAACTAAGCTCCCCTCTAGACACTGTAGCTCCTGCAGTCACTGCGGACACTCCCTCTTCCTATGCCTGTGCTGTCCCAAGGGGAGCGCAGCTCCCTCTGTCCCTGGCATTTTCCTTGTGCCTCCTGCCTGTTTTGGCTGTGGATGTTGGCACTTTCAGTTCTTTCTGGGTTTGTTTTTATATGACTTCAAAGCAACCTGCAGACCCCTGGAGAGTTGTTCAGTTGAAGACTGGTGACCTGCACGGGGCTCTGTAGGGTTCCTCCATGCCATCCATGCCCTTGGCTTTATCTGGGTTAAGGTTTCTCTTGCAGCAGCAGGGACACAGTGACGCCCTGGGCTCTGTGTACCTGCAGGAGTGTTCCAGGGTGACCAGGGGGTTTTCCTTGCAGCTGGCTCTGCTGACGGAGCTGGCGCGTGGGGGCCACGCTGGCGGTGACAAGCACGGGCTGCTCAGTGTTTCCCACGGGGAGCCGGCCACCAGCAGCGTCTTCCAGAACGAGAACTTCCAGCTGCACCTGACGCCCCCTCCGCTGGCTGAAGAGTAGCGCTCCTGCCCCGGCTGCTCCCAGGACGTGGTGCTGGGGAGCCCTCCCACCACAGCATGGGATTTTCCCCACACCACCTTTCCCAGAATCTGCTGTGCTGACCCTCACTGGGCACTGGTGGGTCATGGCCAGGTGATGCCCCAGCTCTGCTTTGGCAGTCGTGGGGCAGCTGGGCTGGAAGTGGAACTCGGGGACAAACCCCAGCATGCTGGGGCACGGGGAGGACTGCTGTGCTGATCCAGGGGCTCGTGGCAGCAGCGGGAACTTTTCCAAGTAACCAAATCAGCTCTGCCCTGCTGGAGGAGCCTGTCCTGTGCCCAGAGGCCCCGTGTCCCTGTGCTGTGCTGGTTCTGTGGCTGGGGGTCACACCTGAGTTCTGTGTTTTGCTAAAAGCAGCTGTTCTGGCAAGGCCTGGCCCTGCTGTCTCACAGCAGCAGCCCTGGGGTCTGAGGGCACAGAATGGGCAAATCTGGAGAAGGTTGAAGAATGCAGGAAATGACACCTGTGTGAGCAAACTGACCTGCACACTCTGTGTTCTACCAACCCATTAAAGAGGCCCTTGGCTGAACTTCCCTGTGTGACTTCTGCACTTCTGTGAGTGGGCTGCTGGTAAGAGAAAGATACATCTTGTGCCTGTGGGAGAAGCTCAAACCTCCCCTCTCACCTCATACCTGTGTTGAGGGTAGAGGGAATGTGTGTGTAAAAAAGGTGTTGTCAGACACATTCCTCTTCCCTCTGCTCACTTTAGCACTGTCACTTGGGTGTTTTGGGGTGCCCTCTGCGTCCCAGCTGCTCCCAGAGCACAGCACCAGGTGGATGTTGCTCTCCCTGCACTCAGAACTTTCATGGCTGATCTGTGCAGAGCTCATATGGAATGGCAGGAATATGGAGCAGCACAGCTGCCTCCAAGGGAACACGGAAGCACCAGGTATCATGCATTGTTCAGCTGGGTAGGAGCAGTGCCAGTGTCCTAGGGCCTGAGTGGCCTTGTGTGCTCTCCTCCTGCCCAGGAGCAGAGCTACCATGGGATGTGTCCAGCCTGCAGCCACACCTGGGCACAGGTAAGACAGGGAGCTGAATTTGGCCACATACCAGCTGGAGCAGCTCTCTCCAGATGAGTCAGAGCTGGGCTATGAAGCTGCCAACCATCCCCAGCACTTACCAGGGCCTGGTGTGCTCCCCCTGGTTACTCCCTTTGTCTGCCTGGCTCTGGGGCTGTGTCGGGCTGCCAGCTGAAGCTGTGAGCAGCCCTTCCTTTGCTGAAGTCCCGCGGTGCTTCTCTCTAGCATGGAAAGCACACAGGCAGTTAGGACAAGCAGAAGGCCAGTTGTTCAGTATTTTATTCAATATACACACACCGCTCCCTGGCAGGGGGAGCAGCCAGCCCAGGGCATGGCTGCAGCAGCACGGCCACACCCGTGTTTGTGCAAAGGAAGGAGCCCCGTTTTCGTGGGAGGGTTGGGAGCCGGGCGTGTGATGGAGCAGGAGCTCCCCGCGGCTGGGCCCTGCCCGAGCGCTCTCCAGCAGCCCGGCACTCCCCAGAGCGCCGCTGACATTTTCCAGGAACAACGGAAGGAAGAGGCAGTTTATTGTGCTTAAGACATCTGAACAAATCCTGGGTAGGAGACACTCACAGCTTGTGGGTATTGCTAATTACTTACAGTTAAGAAAGAATGGATCCTGACACGGGGACAGGACCCTGCGGGCCCTGTGGAGTCTGTGCCAGGAGCACCCCCGAGGTCACCACCAGTGCCCCGGCAGGGCTGCGGCTCCTGCTTGCCTGCAAACAAGGTGAGCTGTGCTGGGCAGGGGCGTCCTGCTCACGTTCCCTGTCCTTGGTGCCCCAGGGAGAACTGGCGAGGAGCTCCCTGCCCTTGGGAAAGGCCGTGCTGCGCCAGCCCACCCTTCCTGCCTGGGAAGGAGAAGTCGTTCCCAGGGGAGGAAGAGCCTTCCTCTTTCTGGGAGGAAAGCTCAGAGGCTGGGCATTAGAGTGAGCTCATTCAGCTCTCCACTCAGGTTACATTTGAAAGGTTAAATATGAATAAATGCTGTAGGTTTATACATAATGTTTCCTTCTACCTATGGAATGTGTCTGAATGATCCAAAGACACCAAAAATGTTGTTAGAAACTGTAGTTAGCCAAGAAAGAGAACCCCGCCCTTAAAAATGAAATAAATCCTATTTAGTTTTACTACAACCTTTGTTTAAATGCCCTCAGAAAAACAGCGTATTTTCAGGTGCCTTGTGAGAATGTATCCGTTCATGCAATGGCCCAAGTTCTTCATTCACAAGCATTGCACATTTTTATGTAAGTCATCAAAACTATAAAACCTATTATTTGTGTCTGAAAGTCTTAGTCTAAAAAGTACAGCATTACTTTATATCCACCCATGGAAACTCCTAGACGCGCATGTGCACAGACACACACTGTTGCCTAAATGTCTTCTAAAGATACTGATTACAAAGTGTATAAAATTGGAAATACATTGTCAGGATACAGTGAGAGATGAGCCACCCTCTACCACAGACTATAATCTAGGATCAGTCACTAACTGTACATGTTTTTACAGCCTTGGATTCACCAGGGACTTCTGAAACGCAAACAGCAACTACACAAAGAATGGCAGTAACGCTGCAGGAACGCAGGAGTCACTGGCTCCAGCTCCATGGAGCTGGCTGGAATCTGAGTGACATTTTGTTTCCTTCAATCAGGGCTGAAACTGAACCTCCTGTGAGACAGCTCCGCTACCTGCTGGGTGAGGGACCCCTGCTTCAAACCTGCTCCTGGACTGGGAGTGATGGAGCAGGAGCCAAAGCCTCCTCTCTCCACTAGAATGACCTTAGGCTCTATTTTAACAAGCTTATGTGCCACCGAGCCCATGGGCCACCTCCCAGGGGCATCTCCACGCTGTCCCCAAGCTCTGCCGACACAGTGGTGTGGCTGGTAAAATTATTTTTGTTTAAACTTTGTTATTCTTCAGGCAAGTGCAGGCCCTGAGGCCATTTGGTCCTGAGTGTCCGCACCAAAGAGCCCAGGAGGAGGCAGAGGCGGAGCCGAGGGTGGGTGTTTGGAGGTAGTCGCTTCCTTCGCCTGTCCTGGTACTCCCCAGTCCAGTGTGGTATTGGTTAGATGGCCATGCCCCACCTCTGCCTGCTCCCCCTCTGCCCACCTGCAAAAGCCAGACACCCTTGCCAAGATCCAGGCAGAGAAAAGGGACCAGGTGGATTCTAGCAACTCATCCCCCTCCAGAGCAAGACCTGCCTTCTCAGGAGATTTCAGAGCCTGGCCTCCCTCAGCAGCTGCTCGGTGCATAGCCTGGAGAAAAGTTGGAGGCACTTTGTGCATTCTCTAGCTTGCCATTCCAACCTGCTGGAAGTGTGGTGCCAACAGCCTCGGAGAAGGTTGCACCAGCACTGGGGAAGAGGCCGGACAAGGCGCCAGGACAGAGACAGGAGGAGCCTCGTGTAGCTGTTTGAGAAAGACTAAGGGCACCTCGGTTTGCTGCTCCAGGCATGCACCCCCCACGCTCTGAGGGACCCCTGCCAACAACCTGACAGGTGGAAACATCTCAAGTGGCACATCCTCGTGTGAGAAGTTGTGTGTGGGGTAACCCAGACCAACAAAAGGGCCTATTTCTGCTAGAAAAGTCTTAAGATTTGTCACTACCTTACGTGCAGACGTGGGAGAGCTGATCAGGCTGAGAACGTGTTAAAATTGCTCAGGCTGCTGCTAGTTCACCATACGTAAGTCCTGTGACCGCGCTCCCATGACAGGAATCTGAAATATCAAGTGCACTGGAAAAAAGGGATTGTCAGAAAAAACAGAAAATAGAAATACTACAAAAGCAACATTACTGAGAAGGAAGTGGACTGAGCCAATGCCGACTTGTGTGGTCACACAGTGGTTTCTATAGTCTCAATCACTTCCATCTCGCACTGCGAGGGCGACAGGAGCGGGCATTCGTCCGGCTCCCAGCTGCTATCCGGGCTGTAATCCTCCTCTGAGCTCAGCTCGGCTACCCCCTCTGTGTCCTCGTCACACGACTCCATGTAGTGAACCCCCACCGCATTGATGCCGGAGTCCTCAGAGCTGGACGGGGACGAGCAGTGCTCTGGTTTTGGTGTATTGCTCTCCTTTGTGATTAAGGCATTGCGGACAGAGCCCTCGTCAGGCTTTGCCCGGTGCGGGGCGGGCAGCTGGCGCTGCACGTAGCACATCTTGCCGTTGATGCACTTGACGCGGTAGTTGTCGATGAACAGGTCGGCGATGGTGCAGAACTGCGGCGCCTCGGGCGGCAGCGGCGGCTGGAACGCGGGAGCGAACTTGAGGAAGTGCTCGGTGAGTGACACCGAGATCTGGATGGTGTTGGGGGGCTCCCGGGGGCGGACGGGGATCTCGGTGCTGGGGAGCTGCTCCACAGGGGTCATGGGCTGGTAGACGTATTTACCTGTGGGGACACAGAGGAGCAGCGTTTAAAGGTTGTTGTCCTTGAGTTCGAACAGAAATGATGACATTGACACCCTTGGACACCACCAATAGTTCCCTGCTGGCAGCAGTTGCTGCTTTTCTTGTGGCCTCTCCAGGTATGGATCCAATGGCACCTAATGCTGCAGGTAATCACAACCTCCTGTACTTCGGTGCTGCTCCCCTCCCTGACCCTGCCTCGAGGACTGCTGTAGGACATGACTAACTGGAAAGTTTTCTCCTGGGTCACAACTCCATAGACATGAAGTGGGAAAGATGCCAAGTCTGCCTGCCTGCCTTCTAGAAGAAAGAAAATGAACAAGATTCTCAGAGGTTTTGTTCCTCCCACTGAACATAACGTGTAAGTTCTAGCTTGTATCTTTGCTACAATGATCAAAATTTTATTATATTACTATTATTCCAGTAAGTCTCCTTGTACACAATTCCATGTTCTTTGTTTTTGAGGACTAAATCGTGTTTTTCCATATTATAAACCAGAAGTTCATACATAACTACAATTAGAATGTTAAGGCAGAAAATAAGGGAATTTCCAAGCTTTTGGCATCTTGATTATCTGGTTAAGTAGTAGGAAAATAGGATTATGTTGGTTATATTGAGCAGAACAAAGTGTGAACTGAACATCTTCACTAACAGAAATAAATAAGAGAGCAGAAAATTGGGACTATGTCAGGAAAAACTGAGAAACCCGAGGCTATGCCTAAGACTGTAAAATGCTGCATTTTATTTGCATGAAGCCTCTGAAAGATTCATGTCTCCCCAGGGGCTCATCCGCTGGGAAAGCACAAATTTCCAGAAGCCTTGTGAGTAGTGGGGCTGTCGGAATAGTTTTGCTGCACGCGTTGCAGACCCTGCTTTGCGCCGGCAGCAGACACACCAAAGCGTGGAGGGGCTGTGCGATGCTTGTGGCTCTCCAGGTGTGGGGCAGGGAGCTCCTGCATGAAGGAAGGTGAGTGCTGGTGTGTTTGCAGCTCACAGGTAGATGCAGCCTTTCCCCCTGAATTACCCATTCCTTTGGAGCATTGCAGAATGGCTCGCGTTGGGAAGGACCTTAAAGATCACGGAGTTCCAATCCGTGGTATATA